TCAGACAGACAACAGATGTATAGCCATTCTGGTGTAAAATGTCTTAGTGTATCTATTAGGGCAGGTGTTTTCAGACTTAAACTTCTTTAGATGGGATTGCACTGTCCTCTTTCCAGTTCCCAGCTCTTATGGCCAAGTTTCTTGCAGAAGCTCAGGCTGTGTTCTGAGTCCTGAAAAGTCTATAACGCTTTATGAAGTCCCATAGGTTTTTCTCCATAGATCTCTTAAAAACCAAGTGTAACAAGTGTCCTGCAGGGATTTTGACTACTGAATATGTGTATCCAATAATGATTTGAGTTCTTCGTTTTCCAGTACAATGATGCAGACACTGAAATATGTGTATCAACAACATGGAATACGAAGAGGATTATACCGTGGTTTATCTCTAAATTACATTCGTTGCATTCCTTCCCAGGCTGTGGCTTTTACTACATATGAACTTATGAAACAATTCTTGCATCTCAACTGATTTTTATTTTAAAAGACCTTACCATAAAACTACATTATCAGTCCTTAAATTATATTGGTGAGTAAATTGCTTGAAGATTAAAAAAAAAAAAAAAGGTTATCTGTTGCTGTGGAACTGCTGTTGTCTGACAGTTTTATTTGCCAAAATGTGGTTAATTTCCTGGAGTGAAACCAGGGGACAGATCAAAATAAACATTAGTTATTAGTTAGCTATAAACACTTTTATGTACTTGATCTTCGAGGCTTCATTAGATCAATGTTAAGAATTGCACAGTTTTAATATTACACCCACATTTTATATGGGTTTCAAGCTGTTAGTTATTTAGCTTTCTCACCATTGCAGGAGTTAAACACACGATTATACTGCTTTTTAAGATAGTAGACATCTGTTCTTTAAAAATTAAATAAACTGATTTGAACAAAATGCAGTGGTTTTCATGTGCAAATACTTGCCAGCTCTGTAGAAGCTGAACTTAAGCATCTTTTTGTTACTTTTTTGCACAAGTGTTCTGTATGCAAGAACAATGCATCTGTCTTTAGACTGGTACATATGACTGTCTCTTCTCCCGTGTGAAGAAAAAATGCTCAGTTGTATTTAACATTATTAAAGATGTTGTAATTTGGAAGCTGGTTACTTGGCATACGTTCTGTTCTGAAAAATGCTACACAAATAAAAGTAGGGGGAACTTTTACAGTGACAAGTGCTAGAAAAGATCTCCTCAAGGCAGGTAGTATAGGCCTACTCTTAAAAGGCATTTCTGTACCTCTTCTGTGGAGCTGAATGTTCTTGATTCAGCTTATTGGTGTCTAAGTATTTTACATACTTTCCAGTCCTAGCTTATGTAAACAGGTTTGTCCATACCTTAAACCATGGAGACAAACATGACTGCATGCTGCTGCTTTTACTTATTTAAGCATATGGACCACATTCAACCTCTTCTGCAAGAAAAGAAAACGAAGATTGTACTGAAAGCTATAGATGTATATATGTACTGTTTCTAAAGTATGGTATGCAATAGACTATTACATGTTTTCCTCCTTCTACAGTTCCTTTTGTAGAGGGAACTATTTTACAGACTTGTTTATACATGATTTGCGTTGGTACTTTTGATTTTACTCACTTGATTCAGGAAACTGTAAAGCATTTACTTTAAGTGATGTAAATTATTTATTGTAAATATTTTGGCAGTGTCTTTCAATAATTGGTTATGTTAAGTGGTGGATGGCTTAAAATCGATTTGCTTCATCTGGACAAATTTGACAGACTGGATCTTGACTTATATATTCAATACCAACTTTGTGGCTCAAATTTTTTTTTTTCCAGTTTCTCAGAATTATGTATTTCTTTGATACTTAACAATGGAGCTGTGGACAGAAAAAGAAATGTATTTGAATTTATTTTATTAAAAATTTTGAACTAATGTGTGTGATCTGTATGTATTACAGTAAGAAAGAATGCATGTAGGTTAATCTGTGTAACATTGTCATTCTTAATTAACAAACAAATAAGAATTTTCATCTGATCATTTAGTTTTGTTTAAATGAAAACTAACCAATATCAGTGATTTTTTTTCCTTTTTTTTTTGTCTTGTAGTCCTTGCAGTAGAGCTAAATTCACTGTATTAAAAAAGGACTGCTGTATTCACTTATATATCCCGTCTGTCTCTTCAGTACTTTCAATGTACTGAACAAGCAAATATCTAATTTTAGACAGGAAGAAGTACAAGATTAGGGTCCAGCAGGGCTCATTTCTATACCTTAATCACGTACTTTCTAATTATTTTTTCTGTTTACTTTTTCAGCACATGTAAGGAGCCTGAATATCTGAGTTTGTCCATATCATAATAATTAGATAGAACTAATAGTTCTATCCAGTAATTGTTTTTTTTTAATCAATTAGCCTTGGTGAATATTTTTAAACCCACCTATTTCCAATACTCTTTGACATAATAGAAAAGAAATCCTCACCATTTTAGGACTCCTTTACTTGAGACAGTCTTATAGTGGCTTATCCATGATACGTGTTGACAATCTCAGTCCTGGTGGAGTTTGTGTGCAGTGATTAAACATTGTGTCTTTACAATAAACTCCATACTTTACCTCCACATTCTCAGAATTGAAATTTTTCCTTGCTAATGTTCTCCAGTTGTTTTTTTTGTTGCTAATTTAAATGAGCTTAGACCTCAGAGTCGACAAATTCTGACTCTTCAAATTCCTTCCCTCTTTTCTTAAATAAAGGAGTGCTGAAGGCACTTATTATAAGCCTTCTTTTACATTTGCACCTCAAAACGACTGTATTTGTTAAGAAAAACAGGCATAAAACAAAAGGTCTGTGTCCTGTATGCTTGGTCCTTAACTGTGTTTTTATTCTGTGCAATGAGTGTAAGTCTGTTCAACTGAGATCTCTGCTTCAGTGATGTGAGTGATAAGACTGCCCCCCCGCGCATTCTTGGAGTGAATCTTGGGATACTTCAGACTGGTCTGAGTTAGGATTCCTGTACTCTCCTCCTTTCTACTCCTGTTGGCAGAATCTGACATGTTCTCTCACCATATTGCTAGCATGGCTGCATAGTAAAACAGTTCAGGAAGTTGATGGCTTTACTTGCCATTTATACTGTTTTGTTCTGCTATGTAACCTTTGGGTGCTGTTTGACATTTTGCCTCCTCCAGGGTAGATTGACTACATAGTGCCTTTACTGTTAACCCACAAAAAGAAAATAATGGGTTTTATTGGTGTTGCCTTACTGAACCAGCTCACACTGTGACTGCATACTTGCTAAATCTGATGCATGGTAAATTTCATCTCAGTTTACCTTTTAAGAATAAACTTGCTACCTGGGGTGGCAGCAGGCAAATATATATTACTGAGTCAGGTGCTGGAGAAGACACAGCTTTGGGTTCCCCTCATACATTTCCACAATTCAATGTATGGCCTAAAAAATGAGGGCATATAAAGCATGCTAACTGTTTCACTGCTCACTCTGTCACAGGATTGGAAGGAAAAAAATTATCTTGTGATAACACTTTTTTTTTTTTTACAATAAATTCCATAATTTAAGCAGTTCAGACTTGGAGAATGCTTATGCATCTTCAAATTGTAGGCACATTTTTCTCAACCAGTGATGCCAAAAAGAATTTTAAAAGTCATAGCCTTAACACTTCAGGGCAACTTTTGGTACTAAAGTAATGTTTGGTATTTTTCTGGATTTCAGACTCTTTGTACAAATTCCCCAGACTGCCTGGCATGCATCTAACTTAATAAAAAATATATCTATTTAAAGCATATTTTAAACTTCTATAACCATATTCTGTTAGAAAATTTCTTTTTTAGTGTATAAGAGAAGCAAAATTTCTCTTTTAGTGTATAAGAGCAGCATAGGCAACAAAGAGACTTCAGAACACAAGGTTATCCAGTGATCAAAGTAGAAGTATTTATGTAATCTCTTAATACCATACCAAATAATGTGATTGTGCACTTGATAGTATTACTGCATAATTATTAATTACAAGTAAGCTCATATTAGAGGTTCTGCAATGGAAAGCAACATGAAGGTAATTTACTGCATGTATTTCGGCACTATCCCAAAGAAAACTGAAGGGGCTAATTTAAGTATACTCTTACCTTTTAAAATCCACGCTTGCGCTTTCTGTTAGGATGCCCAACCACTGTTCGAAACTGTTGTCTTTGCAGTACTGGAGCCTCCATGCTGTTTCCCAGTGTTTGGCTGCATTAAATAGATACAAGACCAAACTCTTTATATATAATTTTCATTTGAACTACAGAAAAGTGATACTGCTGTACTAAGAAGATACATAGTACTAGAGTCCTTCAGTCTTTGCTAAAAGTGATGGTCTCAGATCCGGAATCCTTTGCTGAAGAAGTGGTTTTGTGGAAAAAATAAAAAATCCGTGTTGTTTCCATTATATAATAAAAGCTTCTATATCGCCTCAGACAGACTCCGTCTGTCAGGGAGTGTCAGCTCAGAACATAACAATTTCTCATCAGAGGAAAAAAATTGCCCCCATAAGCAGCTGGGAGCAAAAAGCGCATCTTATTTTACGTCATACTACTGCACTGGTATCAGAAGAGGGGCCGCGGCTGTAACAGCACTTGACGCTGTGGAAATAACGACAGGTAGGGCTGAGATCTACCCTGTTATGCGCAGACGTAACCGCCACGGGCCTCAGGGCACCCTCGCGCTCCCTCACGGCGCGGGCCCCACCCCTGCGGCAACGGCTCGGGGAGCCGCACGCCACTTCGCGCCTTCAACCCCGCTTGCCGCCCCGGCGAAGAACCGCCCTCCAGTCAACCTCCCCATTGGCTGCGCTTGCTCGTCCCCCGCCGGTGGCCGAGCTGGGAAGGGCGAGGGGAGGGGCTTTCCCAGAGGCGGGCGGGGGAATGCGTCTGTACTGCGCCTGCGCCCTGGCGGTGTGTGTGTGGGGGTGTTGGGGGGTGGTGTTGTGCAGGCGTGGGGTTTGGGGGTCCTACGTTTACCTTCCTGTTCGCGTTGCGTCGGGGCTGGGCTGCGGAGCTGAGGCGGGAAGAGCCGTGCGTGGCTGAGGACCAGGTCATGGCAGAGAGGTAACAGCCGAGTGGCACCGCACGAGCGCGGGAGGTTTGAAATGTAAAGCGTGGCGCGCGGGACGTGCCTGGCTGCCTTCTCTGCCGCGCCGGGGGCGGGAGGGAGTTCTCAGGGTCGCCGGGGCGGCACGGGCTTCATTTGCGAAGAGGTCAGGAATGCCCGGAGTAGTCGGTGAGAGGAGCCCGCTGCTCTCAGAGCTCCGGCAGACGGGTCTGTGTCGGGAGACTGGCTGCCCTGGCCTCTCTGAGATGTTGGCTATTGGCCAGAGGGGAGCTGAACCTTGAATACCAGTTTTCTAGTTAACTTTAGGTTAAGGGGAGAAAAACTTAGCTGGCTCTGTTTGAGGTACTTGGATGTCTGTGGAAATTCACGTGTGCTTTACAGTGTTCAGGGAGATAAAAGCTTTCTTGCAAGAGCTGGGTTTGCAGTAGGGTCATAATTGATCTATAAATGAATATGGATATATGGGCACCAAAAGGAAGCACTAGCTGCAGTAAATAGCAACTTTATGTCTCCTTCCTTGTGTTTTTTTGTGCCCAAATGCTTGGTTTTCATTCCTCTCATTGAAGAGACAATGTGATGCTTTACTGTTTAGAACTAAAAAGCCACACTAAATATATATGAAAATTGCAGAGGGTTAAAGTTGAGTTTATGCTTGAAGCTTTCCCATTTCTTGTGTATGGGTTGCCTGTTTTCAAATCATGTTATGTCGTTGTAATGAATTGTTAATTCAGTTTTCAGAAGAAAGCAACCAACCTCCCTGACACAATACTGAAGTATGGGTTGAACAACAGATACTGTGTGTTGGAAGTCAGCATACTACAGAGAAATGGAAGTGATGCTGAGAAGCACTTGACAATTACGGCATCTCAGTCTCTGCAAGATACAGAACTGTGCATTCTTAGGAACGGCTGGTAATCCATACAGGAATATAAATGTCTGAAAAGAAGATGAAATATTGGGTTATTAAGTCAATTTTCTTTGTGTTAGCTTTGAGATGAGTCCTAAAAGTGATATGAAATCTTGAAGTAACTTTTATTTAATGCACTATTGCCAGTATATTAGTGTAATAGATACTCACCTTGAGAAAACTGATGTCATGTAACTTGTGTTGAGTGCGTATTGCTACCTTGAAGTTTTAATGTGTCTTTGTACTAAAAAACAAGACAATAAACATGAAGTAGGCTATTTAAGTGTTGCCTTGCAACAATTAAAGTATTCTGCTAAATGATGTACCCTTATCATGTGTATAAAGGTACAAAGCTATGCTTGTAAAACATGAGGTTTTATACAGTCTGTTAAAATAGTCTTAGCTTGAGCTCTCCTGCAGAAGTTTTTTCAAGCAAGGATAGGATTTTAATTTAGGTGTTTGTGTAGTGATTGCATGGTGTGTTAGAAAAGACTAGCTTAGTTTTCTGAAACACATAGGTGTGCATATGTTACTTAGCAACATAAAGATACTGAAATGGCTCTATACATAGATCTGGAATGACCTGAAGTCAACAGGATTTCCATGCATTCCGGTTTTCCTGATGTATGATCCAGTATTCAGAATGACTGAGGTTTTGTCAGTAAAAATTCCTTTATTCGCTTTCAGACTTGATTTAGGTCAACTTCTTAAAAAAGAATTGCAGTAATCTTCTGTTTCAAAGTATGTTGAATCCGCTCTAATAGCGCATAATTTCTAATACATTGTGTCCATAGCTTGCAAATGATTGTTCAAATGTGTTACATTATAGGGAGTCTGTTCCAGTTGTTCCAGGAGACATAATTCATTTAGAAGGCAAGTGTAGCTCTGGTACCTGGGTCATCGATGAACAGTCTGGATACCTGGTTCTTTACCCAGATTTGCTGCTTTCTGGTACTACAATATCAAATAGTATTCGATGTATGAGAAGAGCAGTGCTGAGTGAAAGGTTTAGGGTAAGTGTTAATTCTAAAGCATCAAGTGTATTAATGGGTTACTGTTCCATTGAGACTGGTGGTTTAGTCCAGTGTTAAATTGACCAAGATACTGTATTGCAAAATGTTATTAATAGCTTTTCTTAATGTTTGCAGTGCAATAACTTGGAATGGAAACTGTGTGTCTTTCATTGAACTTCTTGTTTTTCGAGAATTGAAATAATTCTATTTTCTTAATACAGCTAATGGAACAAAAAAAAAAAGTCTTCCCACTTAAAATTCTGGCAACTGTTTGATAATTTCTTGCCACATTTTGAATGGATGTGAATCCCTTGTGAGTGATCTACCTCTTATTAACCACATGAATACATAGCCATGCTTGGCCAAGTTAGAAGCATCTGAAAAAATCAGCCAATTCATTAAGAATTAGTGTGGCTGATTCGGTAATCTGAATCCAGCGGCTAGAACTTGGAAACAGGAGAAGTTTCTTGTAATATCAGCACTGATATGTGGCAGAGAAGCCACAGCTGCCAGTTTCAGCTGAGGAAAACTTCCAGATGTGGTAGGGGTATAAATCCAAATGGGCCAGGAATCTTAATGGAGAGTACGTGGGCTGGCTGGGAGCCTGTGACTAAAACAAGAAGATTAAAGCACGGGAGAAGACTGTGAAATGGTGTCAGCCCTTCATTAGAGGAGTAATAGGAACAAACTAATCATTTGGAAGGGACAATGCAGAAAGTCCTGACTCTGGGATAACGCCATCCACCAGTTGTGAATGCAACCCACAAGTGCCAGGTCTGTAAAAGATACCAGTAAGTACTTAAACCACAGTGATCAGATTTCCGGTTGTTTGGTGGTGGCTTGTGCAGAGGTCATAACTGATTACTACTTTCAATTCGTATGAGTCTACAGAGCCCAATCCTTGTGATGCTTGCATGGGTTTCTGAGCCATTTTGATGATATTTGGAATAATTCTGTGCGAGTTGCTAACACACAGGAAACTGCTGCATACAAAAAGGTAGTATCTGTAAGATTGTAAAAGGATTTGCATTAGAAAATACTAATATTAATACAACCCACAGGCAAAACTTACTCAAAACAGATTTTAATGTATGTTTCTCACCTGTCAGTCACATAGTGATTGTATCCTAACATTATTAGGGTTCGGACAAAAATGAAAGATAAAGAGGGGAAGACCCATTTCAAACTGTCTGTTTTCACAGTCAGATTTGAACAGGTATTAGTGAAGTGAAAGCCCTAATTGTCTTAGAATTAAATAAGTGCAGTTCATTGTGCAGCAAATAAAACCAAGAAATTTTATAGATAATTTGGCACTAAGTGGGCGTGAATCTTCACATATATACATGTGTTATGTAACATCTGTTGCAGGGCTCAGAGTGTGGTTCGCGCCAAACACTTGTTGGTACAATTCTTCATGAAATTTTCCAGCAATCAGTAACAAATAACTTGGCACAAGAAAAAGTAGAAGAACTTGCAAATAAAATTGTGTATGGACAGAAGTATCTCAAAGAAATGTAAGTAGCATTGCAAGTGACTTTTATGTTTGGAAGACAGGGTAGAAGCACTTGAACTCGCAGACTTATCTTAGAACCTTGTTAGCAGACATATCTTAGAACCTTAGTTTTAATTTAAAAACCATAGTGCTAATATTCTGAGAATGTTCTACCAAATGAACTTGCTTAATGAAACTTCGGTATTTCTTAGTGAGAGCAGTCCACCTTGGCCTCCAATCAGGAGACTTGGAGACACACCATACATAATGGCGTTGGCTCCTTTGAGAACTCACGCAGAGCTAGTCTCGAGGAGAAAAGACAGCGTAGAAAGAATCGCGCCCCACCTATACCACCCAAGGAAACCTTTTGCTGTGCTTTTTGCAGCTGGATTTGCCTATCTCACATTGGCCTTTTTAGTCATCAGTGCGCTTGTAGTAAGCGTGGGTAAAGCCCTTCTCAAATCTTCGCTGGCGAAGTCAAGCCATGATGATGATGATGGATGTTCTGTAGTGTAATTTGCCTTCTCTGCTGAGCAACTTCTACAGATCTGAACTATGCTTCTGGAGTAACTGTATGTGTGGCATGTTTTTTCAGGCCAAGCAGGTTGGAGTGTTTGTGCCTGTAACATTAAATTTCCAGGCATCTTCCAAAGTTGAGTTAAATGTGATAACTGATTTTGATCCTCAGGAGATTAACTTTAAACTTGTGACTGACCAAGCACTGAGTGTCTGATATTTTCATGTTCTTTGTCAGATTACTTAATGGCTCAGTTGTTAGAGGACCTTTATCCTGTTTTCTCTGCAAAGATGGTAGAAATGTGGACTTGATTAAAATGTAATTTATGTAAAAAAAAATATATATATATATATACATATTGTTAGGAATTGTATATTGGGCAATGTCAGTATCTGTTAGCCCCAGATGAGCTTGAAGTTAAAATTAATTAAAATATTTATTACACTAGCTCTGTTATGAAGGTAGGTATTTTGAATTGTGACTTCTGAGATGACTTAAAGCCCTTTGTATCACTCTGTGTCTCTGGAACTGATGACTTGCAGTTACTCTTTTTGTGTCTAGGCTATTCTATTAATTGTTAGGATTGAAAAGTAAGTTACATACGTTTGCTGGCTGTGCTCATTTGCACTTATATAAACATTTTTGTGCAAAACTCACTGGTATTTCCCTGTTGCTGTAGAAAAATGACATTATATCCACTGAATTGTAGAATGCCAGCAATGAATTATCTAATGCCACTCGATTAGGTTCAGTTTAATGCGACTTATGCTTTCATGTGTATTCCTAACTGTAGCAACTGGAGATGATCATGATTCCTTTCCATTTAAAATTTAAGATGGTTTAAGGCCTGTCAAAATGTATGTGAAGAAGTAGCACATCAATATTCCGGCAAAAACCAAATGGCTGTCTTTCAATTTTTATTTTTTTAATGGTTTCAATTTTACATAAAGCATAGGATTAGCCATTTTAAAATGCATGAGTCCGGTACCCCTTCTTACAGTCTAGCTTTCATTTCATCACATCTTCTGTGCTGATGCTTTCATTGAGTTACACCTGACATTTTGAAGGCTACATCAGATATGAATACGCGTTCTGTCTTTTATGGTGGCTGTTCAGTTATTGAACCTTAATGAATCTGCCATTATCTACAATTTATAGATGTTTATTAAAACTTGATAGTTATTTCCATTAATCTTGTTGCTATTTCATGAAAAATCTTGTTTGTACCAGCAGCAAATCTAATACTTCTGCCTTGTTATGTGTATGGCTTTATTTTTTAGGTATCATTTAAATCTGAGACAAACGGAAATAATGAGGGAAGTGGAAGAGTATTTGCCATCATTTTTTAAATGGGCAGAAGACTTTTTGCACAATCCAGCTAACCAAAATAAAATGCAACTAAAACTGTAAGAAAACAGAATTAAAAGTTAAGACTATTCTACATTGTGTATCTTGTTTGGTTCACCTTTCATATTTGGATCAACACTTTTCATGCAGATGTGTTTGCATATGGAGCTAATTTATGGCCTTACTGCCAAAATGGCTAATCTTGAGCACTGCAGGTTTAACTGCCAATATGAGCACTAGGAAAGATGTTAAACATTTTGTCAGTTCAGGGTGAACTGATATAAAAATCATACTGGTCTTAAAATCTTTGTAAACTAGGTAGTACAAAGTAGAAATTTTAGTAATTAGAAAAGCAAGCATATTTGGTCTACTGTATTAGAAGTTACAGGCCAGGCTGAATGGGGCTTTGAGCAGCCTGGCCTAGTGGAATGCATCCTTCCCCATGGCAGGGAACTAGATGGTCTTTAAGGTCTCTTCCAACCCAAATCATAGTAGACTATGATTCTATTATTACTGTAGGCATGTGCAAGACTACAAATCAAAATGTGAAATTATTTATTAATAAAAGGTAATTCTTCACTAGGGTAACATTTTATCAGTGAAATGTTTATTTTACCAACTGCTGCTAAGCTCTTGTCTATGACTTCCTGATGTTAATAGCCATGTGTGAAAGTTTTGCTGAGATGGCAGATCTGAATAAAATCTGTATATATATAAAATCAGTGTATATCCTTAAATTTTAAGCACGAAGTATTTTAGAGTGTGGTTATTCAGAAGAGACCAAAACCTATTAAAACCAGTTAATGTGCAGTTTAAAGTAGCTTTCTGATATGATGGCTCCCCTGTAAGGGGAAGAGAGTTTGAGTGAGACTCAATGCACTTTAGATAGAAAGTTAGTGGCTAAAGAGTACCTATATTGCAAAGCCATAAATATTAAATTACATTTTAATATTTCAATAGTAAGAAATAAAGAAAACTTAACTTCCAACTTCAATTTCTTCCTAGGTCCAATGGTGAAAAAATAGAAGATTTCTCTTGTAAGATAGAGATTGTAGATATCTTGGATATTGAAGAGAATATATGGTCTCCCAGGTTTGGATTGAAGGGAAAGATTGATGTTACAGCCAGAGTGAAAATCCATCGCCAGCCTGGAGTACAGTCTAGGGTAATGCCATTAGAGCTCAAGTCTGGCAAGGAATCTAATTCCATAGAGCACAGAAGTCAGGTACAACAGCTGATCTATTTTTGTCTTATGAATATGAAACATTTTGTATGTGGTATCATCTAGATTTATGGATGGCTGATCCTAGTGTGCCCGAAGCTGCTGATACGAAATGAACCAAGCAGTGAGAAGTATATATGTTTACCACTTTCAAATGCATTTGTAGGTTGTTGCTTGTTTGGGGCTTTTTTTAATCTTGGTGTATCTGTTCTTCAGTCTCTTCTTACTGTATGCAAGTATTAGGTTCAGGCAGACTGCTTGAGGAATTAGTGTTATACATCTTTCTGGTTAACTGGCCTGATCTAGAGGTAGTAGCCTTACGTACAAGCTTCTCTTAAGGAAGATGCCTTTTAATTGAAATCCTTGGCTAGGTGCTTACTACTTACAGCTTCTAGATTAGTTGTCATGATAGTGGCTGCTTAACCATACTAATAATGGAAAAATTAAGTACACTGTATAAAGTATTTTGGTTTTAATACATTGTAATAAGTTTTATACATAATGTTTGCAGGTTATTCTGTATACTTTATTGAATTCAGAACGGAGAGTAGATCCCGAAGCTGGATTTCTTCTTTATCTTAAAACTGGTACTATGTACCCTGTTTCTGGAGCTCGCATGGACCGAAGAGGTAAGGTTGTTCCGTTTCCCCACAGATCTTAATTATCTTAATTAAAATGAAACATTTTAGTAATAGTTATAAGGTTTACTCTTATGAACATATCTGTACTTAGGGATCTGTTGCTTGTTACAATGTTACTAATTCCAGTAAGTTTATGCTAAGAACTTAATTGTTCTATTAGTATGCCACTAAGACTTTGCTATATGTTTCTTAGCTGACTAGAAAGTTGATAGCTAGTTACCTTTGCGTTAGTATTACAGACAAACCCAAAACCATACCCTTCAGCTTAGTCTGTTTTTTAATTCTTTGACAGAATTAATGAAGTTAAGAAACCATGTGGCCTTCTACTTAATGCACAGTACACATGAATCTGCCATGGGAAGACAAAATTCACAGCTTGCTGCTTTGCCTCCTGTAGTAGATGACAGTCAAGCCTGTAAATATTGCTCCCAAGTACACAATTGCGTTCTATATGGCAGGTAAAAAGACAAAAGTTTTGACTCGTGTTTTTAAATAAGCTTGAATAATTGTAGATTTTGATACTGTGGTTTCATTTTTGTGGTTGACAGCCTCTTATTTCTTTGAGGACTCTTGCACTCCAAAAGAATGCTCCACAGACCCCACTGCAACTTTTACAGTGCAGGTCCCTACTCTCGCACACACTCAGTGTATTTGCTCAGGTACACTTTCTGCAAGGCAAAGTCTGAGATAAGCCTCAACAAAATACTCGATGATAATAACTGATGTCTGTTGCATCTAAGTAAATAATGATTTTAAAAGGTATATTCTTTCAGCTCTTTGAAATAGCAGTCTTTTAAGGCTGAATTATGGCTGGACAGCAGCACTTTCACTTTGACTCTGTAGGAGACTGCTTTTCTATAGGGTATTACACAAGTACTGATACTGTTGTGGTTTACTCAGGACAAGTGCATTGATATTACTCTGCTTAAGTGTTGCATCTCCTGTTGAAGAGAAGTAATGAGCAAATACTTGATAAATTTTCACATAAAGTTATTGAATTGTTTTAAAAACAATTAGTTTTTACTCATATGCTGCACAAAAAAACAGAACCAAAATTGTATATTGAAGAGATCAAATGTGATATGTTAGAACAGGAGAGATTTTGGGATAATCCTGTGTAAATATAATGCATGCTTGTTTTTCAACTTGTAGGGGTGAAAGTGTAGGTTGAAGGAGCTAGATTAATGGCCATACATGGTAGGTTTTTGTAAACTAGTTTTTGTGAAATATTACTTCTAACATTCAGTTGTTACAGCAAGAGGATTATTGCTAACTGGGTAGCTGTTCATTTTTGCAACAACTTTTTTTTCGTTGCATTTTGTATCTCTGATTAGATATAATGTCTATTGATACTTAGTTTTGAGATAAATTGAATTAAAGTCTGCTTGTGTATTAACTATTAAATCCACTTTCCTTAGCTAAATCTCAATGTAGTATTCATATGTTACAAAAAAGGAATAAAAGATCAACTAGCTGAATGTATACAGTGTTATCTTTGAAATGTCTTTAACTGTTCTTTGGTTAACTTATTGTTCTCCATAATTCAAAATCATAGGATGATGTAAAGTGAACAATCTCATGTTACTAACATGAATAAAGGATATAGATTATCACTGAAATAAAGTTGAATCTATCTGGTGTATTATGGTATATATTTAGATCAGCATTACTTACATATAGACTTACAAGCAAAAAAAGATACAAGTTGATTCTTTCCTGTGTTTGTCTCTACTCCTAGAGCTGTAGAACAGAAGATGGCCAGTGTGTCTTTTCCTCCTGCTATGGTACCCATTATTGAAAGAGAGACCCAGCACCTGAAACCCTCCCACTTAGAGTATTTCAGCCTGTGGTACCTAATGTTAACCTTGGAACTACAAAGTGGAGAGGGTAAAAAGGGATATAAAAATATATGGATGATGCCGTCTTTGGAAAGGTAAGATGTAAACTCTAACTCGGTACAAATAATATTCCCTTCAGTAACAGGAAATGAAGCATTGTAACTCATCTTCTCGCTACAAGGAATACGAGATGTTTTCTAGTGTAGAATAGTGCTTGTAGAAATAGTCACCTGTGCTACTTGTGCACCTGTGCACAGGTAGAGTTTTTGTGAGATTTATTGGTTTTGTATTTGTTCTATTTTTTTATTTATTTTTTTTTTAAGTGACACATAGGAAGCAGCAAACGGCAGCCTCAGTCTTCAGAAGCCTAGCTCATTGTGCCCTTTTCCTGAGGGCAAACAGTGATGCATTTTGGACTGTACTCCTAGGTGTGGCTGTGAATGTGGGTAAAAGCATACTAAAGGCTCTTTCTTGTTGGCTGAAGTAGCATATTGTTACGCATTACCTAGTCCAGCAGCTGGAAAAATGTAATTGGCAGTTTGTAGGCCCATTTCAAGGCCTCTGTAAAAGTGAAATGTAGCTGAGTTGTTTTAGGTGAAACAAGCAACTCCATAAGCAAATATGGAACATTTTAGTGAAGTGGATCTGTACGTTTTGCTATTTGCTTTTTAACAGGAGATTATAGATAATTTTAGCCTAAATATTAGAGTCAGTTCTTGGAACAAGTATAAGGGTTGACTACTTAATCTTCCTGGTTCTTTGTGTGTGTGGTTTGTGTGTTTTTTTTTTTTTTTTTTCCGTTTGTTTGTTTGTTTTTGTTTTTGTTTTTTTTGTTGCTTTAGGGTTTTTTGTTTGTGAGGTGTTTTTGTCTTGTGTTTTTTTTGTTGGTGGTTTTTTGGTTTTGGGGTTTATTTTTGGGGAGGAGTGGCCATTGGGTTTGGTTGGTTATAGGTGATATGTTTTTTACCTTTTTTTTTTAATATTTCTCTCACTGAGAGTGTCTTAATATTAAAGCGTATTTATTTTTCCTTTATCTTCAGAGAGAAGACTGGAGATTGTGTTGGGAACATGATCAGAGTTGAAGAAGTACAGGAAATTTCTGAGGGAAAGTACCTGCATATCTTCCAACGTGGAGATGGTGCCATCCCTGGAACAAACCTATTGGTTGGTGATCGAGTGGTTGTGAGTGGAGAGGAAAATGGTTTACTTGGTTTGGCTACTGGCTATGTTAACGAAGTCAGTGTGACAAAGGTCTCCTGTTTATTGGACAGGTAATAGAATGCAAGGCGAAATATCTGTTTGAAGACACTATGATACTGCCTTCAGAAAGGGTGCTTCTGGGTGTTCTAAAAGCTCTGACATGTTCTGACTTCTCTGGCTGGGCTTGGGGAAGTACCCTTCAGAAATTTTCATACCGTGATTGAGAAGTTCAATACTTGGTCAGTGTATATGCCTATCTATTCAGCTATGTTGTTTGAATAAAAGCATGCTTGCAAATGCCCATTTACTTGTGACTCCAATGTGAGACTATATGGATACAGTGATTACTGTACTAATAGTAATTTTTGTTGTTTGGACTATATTGCCTTTAAATTGGGCTCCAATAGTGTTTTATTTAGGTCAGTTAAGTGTGTTTCTTCTAGTTAATTGCTTTACCCTAGGACCCCTGACAGATAACATTTAACTTAGTAACAAGTCTTTAATCATCAGCAGACTGCTTGTAAACAGAATTATTTTGTCCATGTTACTGTCATCCTTCAGGAATTTGTCAAAGCTCCCCAAGAACATCATATATAGGTTGGATCATGAAGAAGGCAATTTTGGCATAGGAGTCACTTTTGAAAACCTTTCTAAATTGATGAATGATTCCCCAGTCAGGTACGAGAAATCAAATTAATTTCACACTTACAATATTTTCAGGTGAAGTTTCTCAAATGATAACTTTTCTTGGTTGGGTTCTTTTATCCACAGTGAAAGGCTCCGCAACTTGATAATTGACTTCCACAAACCACGTTTTATTCAGCATTTGAGCTCTGTCCTTCCTCCAGAAGCAAAGGAAACTGTTGCAAATATTTTAAAAGGTACAAAGTGGCTTTCTCAAAAATCCTGTTAGGTAGTGCATCTCTACAGCCAAAACATTTATCATACTAAATATAAGGGTTTTTTCATACTTTTGGTTCCAGTGGTAGTTTTCTGCCTAAAAGTTAAAAACAAGTTTGTACCTTGCATGTTTTCTTTTGATTAAATAAGTCTTAAACTAGTTGGGACACCTGACCAGATATTTGTGTGCAACTTTATTTTACTTCTGTTGCTGCAGCTTGCAATTTCAAACAGTGCACTGTATAATTACCTCCCTAACCTTCACAAAAGGAAGGAACAGGGAAGGCTCTTGGGATAGAGGAAGCAGACTGAGAGTGGAATGAGATAAGCTTTGGTGTAAGCATTCACTTGCATAATCATTCTTGTTGACTTGTTGACTGTTCTGTAGTATGTGATACTTTGTGGTGCTTTTTAATGTCTTTTTTAAAAACAAAACTTACTTAGGTATGTGGCAATGTTTGGTATTCGGTGATAATATTGTGGTGTTCTCTGACAGAGTCTTCTGTGAAAGCAGAAATTTAACTGAATTCTCTTAGAGCAAACAGAACTTTTCATTAAAACTCAGTCTGAAGACTTGTTTTTTTACTTGAGCTTTGCCTAGCTCAAATAGCTGGAATGTACTGGTTATTTACATCAGGCTCGGGAAGCACAGCTCTGACATAATGCTGCTTCTAAACAGAATGATGCTATATGTGCAACTCATTTCCCTTTTCTCTGAGCTGTATGCTTGAGTGTGATAGTGGGTATGATAAAATATAAATGCCTGTACATGATATCATATGGAGGTGCGGAAAAAAAGGCACAAAAGGTCTAAGAATAAAAATATCTTCAGTGATATATTTCCAGTAGTACAGATGCTGTATTATGTGTTTTGTGTATTATGTTTAATATCATCACTTCATTAGAACATACAGACGCACTCTGCTCAATTTTTTTTCTTTAAGGGGTCTAGTGGAGGAGGAAACTAAAGTTTTGTTTTACTAACTTTAGCAATTATTGCAATGTTTATGAAGTATAGACATTTCATTTTGATTTTTCTTCTTAAAGGTCTAAATAAGCCTCAGAAACAGGCAATGAAAAAAGTGCTCCTTTCAAAAGACTACACACTTATTGTGGGTATGCCTGGAACAGGAAAAACTACTACAATATGCGCTCTAGTAAGATTGTGTACTTTGATGTTTAAATTTTTTTATGAGATGTAGAGGATAGCATTAGACAAATTGTGGCCAAAGCATACTGCCCAAAACTGTTGTGACTTAGTCTACTGGTATCTGCATAATTGCAAAGAAAATGCATTTCCTTCTACTTAAGAACTTATATTTAATATAACTAGAAATGTATTTTGTGGAGTAGGAATCTCTTGCTTGTGTAGGAATGTATGTGAGAGAGAGGAGATTGAAGTGTGATATTTAATCACTTCTGTGACACTTTAATATTAAAATTCTTTGGCCCCAAGTGTCCTCAAATCCTGAGTTACAGTTTGGAAAAGGGACTCCTTGGGGAATTCAGTATCTTGTTCACTGTAAATTTTATAAATCCATGGTGCTGCAGCTATGTACAGCCTGCTAGCCGTCTCTAGTTAGCGGTTCTCTTTCCCCAGGAATGGACTATAGGAGCATACTGGATTCAGACTGTGGGCTGAGCAAGTTTTTCTTGAAATTGCAGTGTCATCTCATTTCCAGTTGTCATCAACTCATGGGGAAAGAGGAGGTTGGGAAGCAAGCAGCTGCTGCTATCATTAGATCAGCCTGTTCTACTGAATCCGTTGTGGATAAATTGTCATGGAGAACAGTGCTTGTGGGAACTGGCTGCATGACTTGTTCTGACAGTGAGGATCTTTAGAGTGCAGTTCCTTTTCAGTGCTGTTTGAGTGTGTGTGGATTTTCTTAGCTCTCACTGTTTGTGACATGTATAGTAGGCCTGCTGTTTATGAGAACCATCAGATCTATTGCCCATATTGCTTTGACAATAGCTAACTGGCAGATCTGGTGATGAAAGACTGATATAAATGAAGTCATGCTGGTTATTCACTTCTTCTAAAACTTCATGTTTTTTACCTAGTCAAACATGGGATTGTTGATTCTTCTTTATGAACTAATACCTTTTCTACCTTTTCCTTCCCTTTGCCACTCGTTAGGTGAGAATTCTTTCTGCTTGTGGCTTCAGTGTTCTTCTGACTAGTTTTACACACACGGCTGTGGACAATATCCTGCTAAAGCTAGCCAAATTCAAAGTGGGTTTCCTGCGCTTGGGGCGAGCTCAGAAGGTTCATCCAGATATACGGAAATTTACGGAAGAAGAAATTTTCAGGTCCAAATCAATTAGATCTGTAGCAGATCTGGAAAAGGTCTACAACAGTCAGGTGAGAAGAGTTTTTGCGCTAGTCCTGACAATTGTTAAGGGATAACTACATTAATATTATGGTTGGTTGGATGCCACGGGGAAGGAACTCATCCCAAAGGTGTATCATTGCTATATGAAATCTGAGCTGAAAAAGATACTCCATCTCTTCAATTTCTTTATATCAGTAATGACCAATGTTAACTGTCTGAAAGTTGAAAATCATTGTTTACATCTACAAAAGGTAACTTAGCTTTGTTATAAGTTCCAAAGATTCCAGTGCCTTTATCTGAGATCTTGTGGGGGGTGGGGGTAGTGGACTGCTGCAACCTTCTCTAACATTATGCACCTGTTGCTGCTGTTCCTCTCTTTTTCTCCCGCTTGTGCTTGCTGGGCCATTAATACAATGAGCAGATGGGGAAGAGGAAGTGGTGTGTTGTGGAGCTGGCCTGGCTGAACACGAATTTTTGATTGAAAAATAAGTGCTGCCTGTCTGAATATCAATGCAAACTGTAACTGGAGCTGGGTAAACTGAATCAGTGGCAGCTTTCCATTAAATTTCTTGATAGAATGAAGCTTCGTGGTACTTGGAATAAATGCCAGCTTTGCAAAAGATGCCATTTACTTTTTTTGTTGATAGGCATTGCAGGGGAATGATTAAAGTCATAAGGGAAGTGACTTAATGTTTCATATTCTAGTCATTTTGTATTGCAGTGGAAGCACAGCAGTGTGAAGAACTGTGCTGCAGTTTTATCTTTGGGATTAAAACACCCCAACCAAACATGTAGTTTTCCACAGTAGTCATTTCAGCACACTCCATGGATTGTATATGCGTAGAACCTGATACACTAAACACATGGCAGGAACAAGTTATTTACTACAGTCTGCTATACGATGGTTTTGGTTTGTCCCTTGCAATCAATGCAAGCATATGAGACCAATAGGTAACTAACGTGTACTGGTCTGATTTTGAAGATTAATAATTTGATTTACATTTTAGTTTAGTGGGATTTTTTTTTTTCTTTTAATCTGGAAAATGTAGTACTAAAGGGTATAAGATGTATCTTATCCTTAAAATGTGTCTCAATTTTCAGGCAGTGGTAGCAACATCTTGCATGGGAGTAAATCACCCTATCTTTGTTCAGAGGCAGTTTGATTTCTGTATTGTTGATGAAGCTTCCCAGATAAGCCAGCTCATCTGTCTGGGCCCACTGTTCTGCTCCAAGAGGTTTGTGCTGGTAGGGGATCATCAGCAGCTGCCTCCACTTGTACTGAATGCAGAAGCAAAGTAAGAGAAAATGCTATTGGACAATTATTAATAACATGAATTTTTGGAAAGGTTTTGCTGTGTTTCAAGTGACACATCTTTTTTGGTTTTATTTTTTTGTTTTGTGATAGAGATCTTGGCATGAGTGAAAGCTTATTTAAAAGGCTGGAACAAAACCAAAATGCTGTTGTCCAATTGACTGTGCAATACAGAATGAATAGGTATTTTAAACTTTTATCTACTATATTGGGGTTTTAATGTTGTGGGATTGAAAATGCAAGATTTAATGCCTCTTCTTGTTTTTTTCAATCTTCAGCAAAATTATGTCACTGAGTAACATGTTAGTGTATGAAGGCAGACTGGAATGTGGCTCAGAGAAGGTGTCAAATGCCACTGTTAATTTGCCCAACCTAATAAAATTGAAACTGGACCTTGCAGATGCCTCAAAAACATGGTTGAAAAATGTGCTTGATCCAGGCACACCTGTGTGTTTTCTGAACACAGAGAAGGTAATGTTCTCTTTTCATTATGTTCTCCCTTCAAAATTGTGGTTTTGATGCAAGTTATCAATACAGTGAACGTGTAAAACATGTTCCAGCAGTACCTGTATTACAGTTGCATCTAAGAGCAGCATAAAAGTTTAATTTGGATATTTTAGACAAATTGAATGTGCCATAAAGTTACTTCTTATGTACAGAGTGTAGCACAAAGTGTGTGGCCATATTGGATGCCCTTGCAAGCATAGAATGACCTCATTTCCAGTGTCCATGGTGTCTAGGATGTGTACCAATGTCAGGAATAATTGCAGTTCTCCACTGAATTTCACAGATGTTGTATACACTGAAGTGTGAGGGAGGAGTAAGTTGCTTTAGGTGTGTCCTTTAATGGAGACTCAAATGTTTGCCAGGAAAATGAAACTCTATAGAGTAGTTAAGAATCGTGTAAAGAAACTGACTTCTAAATAAAATGAACAAGAGTTTAAGTGCATGTGGAAAAAGACAAATTAGTACATATTTTCAGTTTTTGGTCTGAAAAGAAACACAGTGTTTAATTAGTGACTTGGAGACATTTCTAAAAATGCCTAAACTAAACAGGGGGACCTTTTCTAGGAATGCCTCAATAGCTGCTGTTCCTTTCATAGAAAATCAGATAGTTGGTCCTTGGAAAGAGATTTATTCCAGCAGAGAACTGGCTGATACACTGTTCATCTATTAATCATACCAAAATTGGTAATCTGAAAGCTGGAGTTCCTGTTCCTCTTATTTTTTTTCTTTTTTTTTTCTTCCCTACAAAGCCCATTCTCAGTACGAGACAGCTGTTCTGTTTGTAGAACCAGCATGAAAGCTTCACTTTCCTAAACGCTCCTGGTTTTGTTAAGACATTAGGCTATAATGTCATGTTTTGAGAGGAAGCCCAAAAAGTCCATGTATTGTTGTAGTTGTATGGGTGGGGGAAGGAGGGAGCCACCCCCTTTCCTCCAAACACAATAATAAATAAAATCAGTGTTTATTTTGTTTTCTTTGAGCTGCTTTTTGTCCCTATCCCCTCCCCCTCCCATATTCTGTTATTCATAGTGTAACCAGGAAAAAATACCGAATGACACCAAGCAAGGTAGCTTAGATTTATTCTGCTTATTTTTCGGAATAAAGCCTCTATTTGTTTCTGATTATTAATGTGACATGTTTGCTACAGTGAGCAAATGTGTTTGTTGCTTTTCTATCCAATCCCGTGTCAGTCTGCCCATCCTCTGACAGTTTGGGTCAGAATGTTTGAAAATTATATCCTTGACTTATCAGTCTTCTGAGTAATTCTAGGCCAAAGTTGGTTTTGTTAGGTTTTTTTTTTGGTGTATTATGTGAATATACTATCATAAGCATTATCTGGCTTTTAGAACCTTTTTCCCCTAAAGTAGTTTTGTACTCTTTACTATGTCAATGCTGGTACGGATAGTAATGAACAGTTCATTAAAACTGCTTTTCTGCTTGAAGAAAAATTAGTCACATGCAGATTTTGAGGCTTATCAAGTGTGATGTTTTCAGAATAGTGAATTTAAAAACAAAACAAAACCCAAACAAGCAAACCCAAAACAACAAAAAAAACCCAACCCCCAAACTCCCAGAAAACAGCATAGCTGTAACAGTGTAGCTTAGCTCTTAATTCAGTTGTGATATGACAGGTCATTACAGTTGGACTGAGTGCATAATGGCAATGTAAAAAAGTTAACTTACAGGAAGTATTAAGCTATGTAGCTGTTGAAACACAAGCTATGGTGAAGCTGCTGTTTTGGAAAAGGCAATGGAATCTTCTAATATGAAGGAAAATACATTCTGCTTCTGTATCCAACATACTGCAAATTAACTATGTCATGTAAAAAACTTTGATGACATGTATAAGAATAGGATTCTTGCTGAAGTATGTAGTACCCTACTTAACACAATACAGAATATTTTTTTCGTATGTGGCTGGAATCCTAAAATAAATGTGGTGCAGTAGCCTACTATTAATATATATATGTGCTGCCTCAAAGACCTCTATTTAGAGTTGCAGCAGTGTTGCACATGGGTTTGTCAATCTCTATTAGATTATTTTTCTGTTCAAGTGCAGTGCTTTAGTGTGCTGGGTATTGAACATAGATTATACTTAGCGAGCTTCCCAGTCAGTTAAATTCCTGGATTTGTGAAGTTCTTGATGCATATTGTACAATGTCAGATTTTATATGTGGTGGCAAGGAGATGCCACTTACCTGGAATACTCTTACAAATATTAACAATATATTACTTTACCTATATGTTAAACATTATAGTGATTCCCAAACTCGGCCATTCAGATTATATTGGGGTGGATGTTTGGAGAAGTAAAACTAGTTGTAATAGGATTCTGAGAGTGTTTCTTTACATCAGGCTATACCACCTTCCACTTTAAGTGTCATAATAATTTGGAAGGAAAACTGAAGAAAGTAGCATCTAAGAAAGCAAAGTTGACCTATGTCACTAGTGTCAGAGGCAAGTAGTGGAACTGGTGAAGTAGTAAATGGCAGTAAATGGGAATGGTAGTAAATGGAATTTGGAGCCAAAAAGCAGTTTAGTGTATGCTCAGTTTTGGACTGTTTGTAAAGGGGTTTGTTGCTTGACCCCAGATGTTTAGCTGTGCCCCAGGTTACTAGAAGGACAATATCATGGACACATTTATTACTAATGATACTAGTTAAACTTTAGAGAAGGCAAGAGCTAAACAAAGAGAAAAAATTGTAAAACTGACACTGATATAACAAGAGTTTACATTATAAGCTTGTTCCTCATTGATACATGATGCAGGGATTCAGTACTACCATTTTGGATAGTTCTTCCTGTAGTTTTAAATGTAGGCTTTGAAACATTAAAAAAGAAAAAAACATCTGCCATTGGAATGGGAAAAATTCACTGTAAACATTCTTGAATGGAAAGCTTTAAAACAGAAGTCCTGTGTGAAATGTGGTTTGTTCTCTTACTGTGTCAGGCTGGGAAATGTTTGTTTTTTTTCAAATGATGTATATTGTATGAACTGTAAAGTCAAAAGATCAAGATTTGCAGTTTATTAAGGTCACTTGCTAATACTAGGAAGTCATTTAAGTAAATTGTTTCAACTTGTTTTGCAAATGTATTCTGAAGTTACTTTAAAGTATAGGCTATTATACTCTGTAAAATTTAGCATTTAGCTGTATTTTTTAATTAATACTGTTACTATAATCATGTATGATATGGCGATCAGAACATAGTATGTCACTGTAGATCAGCAAAAGTCATTATTTTCTGGTTTGTTTTTATAGGTTCCAGCACCAGAACATGCAGAAAAAGGTGGTGTAAGTAACATGACAGAAGCTAAACTAGTACTCTTCCTCACATCCTTATTTATTAAGGTATCTTTAACTTTATTACATTTTTCAGAGGGACAGCTTTATAATTAGTAATTTTTATGCTGCTGTAGTAATGGAGGCTATATGTATGTATATATGAATATATGAATATATACGTATGTATACGAATGTATGTATATATGAATACATACGTATGTATATGAATATATGTATATATGAATACATAAGTATGTATATATGAATACATACGTATGTATATGAATGTATGTATATATGAATACATACGTATGTTTATGAATGTATGTATATATGAATACATACGTATGTATATGAATGTACGTATATATGAATATATACGTATATAGATGAATGTATGTATATATGAATATATACGTATATATATGAATGTATGTAGATACAACATATGTAATGGTTTATTTGTTGAATTATAATCATAAGGATAAACTTAAGGTTAGCTACATGTCAATATAGTGAGGAGCTTGAGGTCTGCATTCTGTTCCCTGTGCCTTGCCCAGCTGGATTTTGGATGCAAGAAAAGCTGGATGCTATATTCTTTTAAGGGATGACTTTCTTGTGAGGTAGGGGTGAGAGATTCGCCTTTCTTCCTTATTTCATTCAGTCAACTTCAGGAGTAGTACAGACAAGGAATTTTGAATGTTCACCTCACCATTTGAGGAAGAAAGAAAAATTAGGATTTTGAGAATATCTTTGTGCTAGGTTAAGGCAAAGATTGGGAGCTTGCAATTACTAATCTTTTTTCAGTTAATACCAGTTATACCTAGAGTTCCATTGGTGATTGGGTGTAGATACAATATCTCACAGCTCTGTTTAAAGAGGAAAAATAATCCTCGAGAGTCTTGTGGCAGTAATCAGTATCCCAAGTTAACTGCAGTGACCGCTTTTTTTTTTGTTTGTTTTGCTTGTTTGGTTTTTTTTTTGGTTTTTTTTGGTGTTTTGTTTTGTTTGTTTTCCATTTCTTCTACTTTCAGGCTGGCTGCAACCCTTCAGACATTGGCATTATATCACCATACAGACATCAATTAAAAACAATCACTGATTTGATGGCAAAACTGAAGGAGAATAGAGTGGAAGTCAATACAGTAGACAAATATCAAGGAAGAGACAAAAGTATCATAATTGTATCTTTTGTTAGAAACAGCAATGAAGAAAATGTAAGTTGGTCATATTAATTTTCAGTCGATTTTAATAGATAACCCCCTAATTTTCATAATGCATCTACCTGCATTAAATTCTGAAATTTAAGAATAATAAAAACAATTCACATTTATTTAACAGCTTGGCACCCTCCTGAAGGACTGGCGACGTCTTAATGTTGCTATCACAAGAGCCAAGCACAAGCTAATCATGGTGGGCTGTGTTCCATCCTTGGCCTACTATCCACCTTTAGAGAAGCTACTCTGCCATTTGCAGTCTGAGGCAATGATATCCTTTTTCTCTGTGCTGTTTTGTGAAAGGGGATAGGTAAGATTGGCTTATCGAGATAAGGATGGGAAGGTCTTTGATTAGTTAGGTTATACTTTTAACACTTATTGGCAACACAGTCCAAAATGTGATAATTAAATATGCCAAAAATATACTTGAGATCAAGCTAATGAATGGATTTAGAACCTTCACTATCTTCAAAAGCAGAAGCAGTTCATGCTGATTTGCAAGTCAAATTGATATTTTCTAGTTTTGAGGCCTGAATTTTTACTGTTTAATGCTTTTGTGGGTGTTTTTGGTGATCTAGGCATCTAATGTCAGTGTGATTTGTTTTCTGCCTAAGTACCATGCATTTAAACACATCTGGTGAGAAAACTGTTCACGAGTAATGCTGCTAGAATGGAAAACGGTTTAACTTTCAGGTGACTTGCTTAATTCTTTCTTTCTCTGGCATTGTACTGAATTTGCTCTACGTACAGCTTTTTCCATGTCCTGTTTAAACAGGAAAGACCTTGTTAGCTGCATTCTTTGCAAACACCAACACATACTCAAACAGATTTTGTGGGTTTTTTGTGAAAGTGACGACATCAACGTGATTCCTTAACTTCCTACATCTTCAATCTTCCAGCAGGGGCTCATGAAAGTCTCCACATGTGTAATATTTTATGATTGTGAAGTTGAAGAGTTTTATAAGCATTTGTATATTTCCTTCTGGTGCTGCTTAATTTAAATGATTGCTTAGTGGAGTACAAGGGCTGATGTGCATTGTTTACTCTGAATGAAGCAAAACCAGAAACAAGATTCAGTTATTTTAAAGGTTTCTTTTTGGAAAAAGAACAACATACGTTTCTATGTTTAAGATGGTCGGTTTGGTACCGGTGTACTTCAGACAAATCAGAAATATGAAGTACTCTTCCTTCAGATACTGGATAGCTACTTTTATTTTCACTTTTATCTTGATAAACAGTTATAAGGGAATGAAGAAACTCTTGAGGAAGAGGGGGAACCAGGGCTGCATTGTGTCATAGTTTTCTGGGCTGAGTTTGGTTTTAAAGACTTAAAAATGTAGTCTACATACAGTAATTCCATTTCTTAGAATTCCTAAATAAGATACTGTGTTTTTGTGCTATTGGGGGGGGGGGGGGGGATTTTCTCTTCCTCAGAGCCTCGTAATGTTCCTTAAAGGATGCTTCTGCTTTTTTAAATACCAAAGTATTTATTATGTATAAATATATTTTTATATTCATATAAATAATGCAATTAATCTATTATAAACATCCCATGACTTTTCTAATCTCTTGATTTTTGCATACATCTGGAAGAGATATGTTGTTGATTCACTTTTATGAACTAATTTAGCAGATAAATCTGGACGAAATAATGCCCAGAGAAGCATCTTATGCCCATATGAAGATCATAGTAAAACTCTAGTTTCAGTTTATCTAATCTGTAGTTTTTTCTTAAACAAAAAACCCCACAAACAACCTCCCCAGAGCCCCAAAACTAGAGATGCAGCTTTATGAATAAGAAGTTTACATGCTCAGGTTGTATTTTTTGTAAAGGTAAGAAATATGTACAATGCAAAATGTCCTTTACTTAACAGATCTGTTTTTGTTTTCTTTTATACTACCTCACACTCTAAACTATTACTGAGAAACTTCTTTCCAAGATTGCTGGTGGAAACCTGAAAACAGATTTTTTTTTTTTTTTTTTTTTAATGATTGGTATGCGTTTTCTTTTGGGTCAGTGTCAAGTAGTTGTGTGCATAGATAGAGTTGCAGACAAACTTGTAGATTTTTTTTTTTTTAACTGCTCTGTAACTTTTGTAATGCTTGAAATAAAAGTTTGATGTTGCTTTTATTATAGTGCTTTGTACTTTGCTAATACTTCATATAATCAATATTTTGAACAGTACAAAAATAGTTTGAATAATTGACAGGATATCCTCTTTTTCAGGTGAAAATGCACACTTTTTCAGTTTTGTATGTGCTCTGAGTCTTTCAAAAGATCAGGAATAGGGTAAAATATACTCTTATTACAAAATTTGTTTCAGAATAACATACCGTTGTGTAAAAAGCTTTTCTTTCTGTGTTTAGGATCTATGTGTATAAAACTCCTAAGGCTTAACTTTTTTCGTAGACCAGGTTATGCTTATCCAGAAAATGATGTGTATGCTATTCAAATGTTAATAAATAAATCTGCGGTATTGCCCTCCCCCTACATATTTGCATCAGATGCAGGAACAAACCAGTCCCATATTTCCTTATCTATTTCTAAAATGAGTCATTTCTTCTTGTTGAATGGTAAAAATTAGATTGAGCAGAGATGTACAGTTTAAATATTTTGATCTAGTACCCTCAAACAAAATTGAGATGTGATACACTAAACGACTCTTGCATTCCAATGCGCATATAGCAAAGGAGTATCTTGTAAAAAGCATCACTTTTCCCTTTTGCCTTTACAACAGCTTTATGCATAAACAGCTGTTGATTCTAGCAGAAAAAATGCAGACACAGGTTGAGCACTGCCTTAGTGCATTATAGAATATTTCAAGTTGGAAGGGATCCATAAGATCAAGTCTAAATTCCTGTTCCTCATACAACTACCTGAAAGTAAACTGCAGTGATCTTACCTCAGCCTTATGTGTCCCTGGGATTCCTAAACAAAGAAAGGCAAGCTGTTTCATGCCAGACTTGTAGAATCAGAGCCCGACTACTAGAACTGTTTAATGTTTAAGTGTATAGGTTCCTTTTTTCTTATAAGAGGTGGGAATTTTCTTTTAAGAGGTAGGAATCATGGACGTAACAAGTGGCCTTGTTACCATGTTCTATCCCTGTGTTGCCCTTGTCCTTCCTTGCAGGCCAAGGTGCAGATATCCTTCTTTCCTGTGCTGTTTTGGGTAAGGTAAAGCTTATCTTTTTGTTCTACAGCTTGCTCATTACCTTTTCCTAAGAAGGGAAAAGGAAAGAGCATGATTTAAATTAATTATTAGGCAAAGCAAACTAGTGCTTAGGGTGCAGTAAACATAAACCGATACACCATCTTTATATGACGCAACTCCTTGGTGTTAAACACACTCATCCTCTGGGGTTACAGTGGTCTTGGGTTTGCTGTGATTTGCTTTTTGGAGGGGTTTAAAATAACAAATGAAAAAGTTGTTAATACCTGTGGTTTTAGAAGATTAACTTTTATTCCCACCACGCTACTTGAGATTCTGAACAGAAACATGTGTCTGGAGTAATAGTATTAGTTTTCTAGCACTGGAAAATGTGTCAGAATTATTATCTGCAATAGATGTTACAGGTTGAAGCTTAGTCATGAGAGAGGTAGCAAGGGCTCGAGGTTGTGCCTTTCTTGCATGAAAGGCTTCATGTGCCTAGGCTGGGACCCCTGGCACTCCTGGCCCTCTGTTTCTGAAAATACAGCTCTCCAGGGTGGTCAGGTTGATGCCACCATGCTCAGGCTGTTACGAGGACTCCAGTACCTGTAGCCCGGTCTTTTAAACTCCGGCTGTGGAAGGACCGCGGCCGCCGGGCGGGTCCTCCCGCCGGCGGGGGCGCCGTTGGACGCGGGAGGAGGGGCGGGGCCGGGTCCACGCAAAGGCGGGACGGGAGCGGCTGAGGTGGCGGCTTCTCCTCTCCAGCCATGGGTGAGTGGGGCCGGGCTTGGCTGGGGATGTCGCGGCTAGCGGACGGGGAGAAAGGGACCTACAGCGGCAGCCGTCCCTCACGCGATGGAGGTAGCGGCTGTGAGCTGCGCTGCGGCGGTGCCCGCACAGTCAGAAAATGTCCTCTGCAGCGGGAACTGGGGCTGGGGACGGCCCGCGGCCTCAGGGCTTGGCGGCGGGGGCGGCCTCCAGCCCTGCAGTACGTCAGCCGGTACGGGCCCGAGCGCTGGCGGATCTCCCTCCCTCCCCCCTGTCACTGGCAGATGTGGCGGGCGCTCTTGCAAACCCGGCGATGTGCCGGGGGCAGGCTGTAAGGGGATTATGCCCGCGGGGACGCGTTAGTGGAGGAAATTACTTGTTTTCTGCTAGCTGTTGAGTGACAGAGGGAGACCTGTAGCTGTAGCGACTGCAGGTTTGGGTTGGTTTTTCTGCTTGTGTTTTTTTGCACAAATACTGTTTGTAGCAAGGGGTTGACTGTTTATCGAGACTGGAAAAGGAATATTTTCTCTTCAAGCCTTGCTAGTCAGTCCCTGGTGAGACAGGTGACATCAGTACCACCTGCCAATAGTCCGTTTCGTGGGTTGGTGCTTTGGGATGAGAAGGGCCTTTCAGAGCCTTGAGGAGCTTATTTTGCTCCATGTGGGTATAGTCTACCCTGTACAATGCTTAAGAAGCAGTTACTAGAAAATGTCATCTGAAATGTTAAATCTTAAAGTTTTTAAGAAGTAGGTGAAGAAAAAACGCTATACATAGGTAGACTAAGCTTTAAAACAGCTAAAATACATTTCTGCTTCAGACCAGGCAAAAGGGCTGATACTTAAAAGGGTAGTAGGCATGGAAGTGTGTCAGCGCCAAAAATCAAAATGGGGTCATCTGAAAAAGGAATTTGTCAGATGCCTTCGGGGAAACAAACTGAATTATGAAAACAGACTGAGGGAGAGCTACCTACCTGAAGTCTGTTTCGAGCAAGGCTTTTCCTGTAATAACACTTGTATTTAGTACTGCCAATAGCAGATCAAATAAAAAGGCAGGAAGGCTGACATCAGCTTTACCAACAGAAATGTTCCAGCTGTTGCAAGCCTCTGTCTCTTCCAGACAGGGGTAACTGGGGCTGCCCTTGGTAGGGTTGGCTCAGGTCCTGGCGGCTGAGTGAGCAGGCAGTCAAGAGGCTAACTAGTGAGCTGTGACTGCTGACTGGGTGAATTTTTGCCAGAGCGCGGTTGCTAATTGTCTGCTATGTCTTCTAACATCTAGTGGATTGTTTGGTTTTTTTTTTTGGTTGAAGTACTGGTAAATTGGGAGACTATAATAGTGTTTTTAAGGTGTCATGGTTTAAGCGCAGCCAGCAACTCAGAACCATGCAGCCACTCGCTCATTCTTTCCCCTTTCTGCCTCCCCCCCCGCAGCTCCTGGAGGGGTGGGGTGGAGAATCGAAAGAATGTAGACCCCATGGGTTGAGATAAGAACAATCCAGTAACTAAATAACACAAACCACTACTGCTACCACCAATAATAATAAGGGGAATAACAAAGGAAGAGAATGCAACCGCTCACCGCCTGCTGACCAATACCCAGCCTGACCCAAGCAGTGGTCAGGTTATCTTGCATACGTTGTCTCAGTCCTTATGGGTTTTCCTAGAAAATTGTGATAGGCTATGTTCTGTGGTAATAAGGTAATTTGATAGTTCAGTACAGAAAATCAGAAAGTAATTTTCTAAGATTCTAGTATTTAATACCTAATTGCATAAAGCTGTGGTATGCAAGAAATGAGATGGGTAATTTAATTGCTGTTTGAGGAACTAAGAAAGTATGTCTATTATAATGATAAGGGTTTTTTAGTCTTTATGCTCTTTGATGTGCAGAGATAAGGTCATACATGAATACTCAAATTTGTAGTGGAAGAGGCTCACATTTTTTCTCGCAAATACGTATAGATATTTTGAAATCTGTGTCTTAATGTCTAAACGATTATGTGTAGCTATATGAGAAACTCAAATTTCAGCATGTAATATGAAATGTTTTCCTGAACCTGCTCCTGTTTACTGGCTGAGACTATGTACAGCCTCAGAAGGAAAACATGTGTTCATGTCACTGTGAAATTAAGACTACAGTGGAAAGTGATTATATATAAAAAGTATGATGTCTGTTTCTGTAGGTACACTATATAGATACTTAATAGGATACCTTAATAGATACTTAATAGGAATGTTGCTTTGATATCATGGAAAGGGCACCGATTGCTGTTAGGCAGCAGAGCTTTTGAGTGCAGCATTGATGCCTGTTTTAATTTGCAGTTACTGACAGCTTCTGAGTTGTACTGAAATGTGTTTGAGAACTGACATTTCTGGCCTTGTTTTTTCATTCATCTATTAAAACTATGTAAGATCTGTAAGGGTGTTTGTTGGAGTGGATGCTTTTCTGTAACATGGTGGTTTATAGCGCTTATTAAATATTTGAGTTTATCTACGTTAAGGTAAGTTTATCTTTGAGCAAGGTGGCCATGAACCATTTTATTACTTTATGTCTCTTCTGAAATTTAAACCATAACCTTTTTTTTTTTTTTTTCTTTTATTGTCTTAGCTATAAAGGATCCTACGGCTGTAGAAAGAGCAAATTTATTGAACATGGCTAAATTGAGTATCAAAGGACTCATTGAATCAGCTTTGAGCTTTGGCCGAACTCTGGATTCTGACTACCCACCTTTGCAGCAGTTCTTTGTTGTCATGGAGCACTGCCTGAAGCATGGTCTTAAAGGTGTGGTAATTGCTCTAGCTGCATATTTCTCATCCCAGCTATGGCATTTTTCTTCCTTTCTTTTGTGAATAAGATAAAATTGAAGTGTGTTATGCTGCTTTAAGAAGTGGAGAAAATTGCTGCCTTTTGTAATTGATAGTGTCATTATTAATACTTCACAACATACATTTCAATGTTTACCAATTTTTCTTTTGTATACTATTTGTTGCAAGTGGTCCTGAAATTTCCACAGCTACATGTATCTATGTTATGTAGCTTATATTTTTAGCTAGTCATCCCTTTTATACTATTTTGTTCTAGCACAGCAATTTTATGTTCACAGGGATGTAATTCAGAAGATGGCTTTGAATACCCGTGAACTGACCAGCATCACAGTTATCAGTTATGTGAAAGTCTAGGCTCAGCAGTTAACCCTTCTGTCACACCAGCTATTGTGAAGGAAGCTACTCCAGTAATTTTAATTAATTCAGTTACTTAATTTTTCTTTTCCTAGTAAGAAAATCCTTTCTAAGTTACAATAAAACCATCTGGGGTCCTCTGGAACTTGTGGAGAAATTATATCCAGAAGCTGAGGAAATAGCAGCAAGCGTCAGAGATTTGCCTGGCCTTAAGTAAGTAGTATTGGTAAAATACAGCAAGAAAATAAAGGACCTGATTGAGAATCTGCAGATGTCTCATGTTTCCATTTGGCATTAATCGAGCTTTTGAACAAGAATTTTGAAATGATACTGAGGGAGAGCAGATTAATCCTGCTAGCTTTTCATGTTCTGTGCAAAACAGCTAAACAAGGTAGTATTTTTATGTTCTTTCCTGATGTTCCTGGGTGAAGTTTTCTGAATGGTCAACAAAAATAGTGCAAAAAGGAACAGGTTATGTATTGAACAGCCTCTAACTGTTGTATGTCTCAAACATTCCATAACTGTGCCAAACTATTGAGTCTAGTCAGCAAAGACTGTATAAAAACAAAAGGTAACACATGGAAGAGGAAAGTATTAGGCAGCTTTTCAGATTCTGGTGTGTAGGGTTCTTCTCAAATCTAAATTTATGCTGTGGACTACAATCTCCTCCCATTCCACTGCACTCTGCTCTTGTATTTAGCTTTATACATTGAATTCCAAAAGGGTTTGGTTACATTGCCATTGGTATATGGCTGTATAAGGGTTATAATTTATAGCTTAGACCTTATCTAAAGCACATAGGTATATAAATTATTATTTACTCTTGTATCAGGACAAATTAAGTAATGTCTTTTACAAAGTGTGTTATACTCCTCATATCCTCATACAGTATGTGTTTAGGTTTTGTTGTTTGTTGTGTTGTTGTTTCATTTACATGCTTACCACTTTGAAGCATGTAAGCACTAGAAGAGAAGGATCTAAAGGTCCAGATATAATTTGTTGGATATTGCTTGCCAGTTGCATACATTTTTGTCTTTTTTGAATTGTCTGAGATACCTTGAATTTGTAAAGAACTATGAGTTAAAGCTAAAATTCAGTACATGTTGTGTGCTTGTGTGACAGGATGTAATGGACATTTGATTACTTTTCTCACAAGTCCTCTGAAAACTATAAGGAGGTTGCAGAAGTGAATCTGAACTGTTGCAGATGTTTTACTTCAGCTAGAAACAGGACTTCCAAGATTATCGTTGCAGCACTGTCAGGTTAAGAAGGTACTTAGCAGCAATGCTAGCCATGTACCGTGTGAGAACAAAGCACATCTCACAAAGTATCTTCTCACAAGCCAGCTCAGTTATGAAATTTTTTCTGATGTATTCCCAAAGCTTGGAGTCAAAGCCTAAACATTATGGCTTCCCAGACTGCATTTCTCAACTAATAGTTTAAAGTACCCTTTCAGAAATACCAATAGCTCTACCAGTAGACATATGTTTAAGACAGTGAATTAATTGATATATTGTTGATTTGGGACTGTTTGTCTTCATGCCCTTTTTTCCAGAACACCACTGGGCCGTGCCCGGGCCTGGTTACGGTTAGCACTAATGCAGAAGAAAATGGCTGACTATCTTCGCTGTTTGATCATTCAGAGAGATCTTCTCAGGTAAGCAATTAAGTAGATTTTGTTTGTGATTTATTTTTAATCGTTTATTAAAAAACATTAAATTCTATTTACTACTTTTTAATGTGTCTGTAGTGTAGCAAGGTGTAACATCTGGCCTATGGGCTGATTTCTTCCAGTCCTCAGGGCAGAGGAACCAAACAACACTGCCTCATCAAGATTGAAGACCAGCTGATGGTTGAAGGGATGTTTCCTTCCCTTCCTGTAGGTGGGGTAATGGGGAAGGGCTCCTACTGCATTAGTCTGCCATGCAGAATATGGGTTGGAAGCCTCTGGAGAGGAGGTGAATTCACCCCTGCCTGCATGGTTTCCTACTGAGCTACCATTGCATGAAGGACTATTGCCTTGAAATTTTATTTCACAGTTCTAAAACTAGCATTGCTCTCTTTTAGTAAACTTCTGCCTGGTTGTGTAGTTGAAGCACAAAGGGGAAAAAACTTTGTCATCTTAATTTCAGTCCTATAACCTAAATGTATTTTTAAGACTTTCTTTGCATGCCTAGGTAGTATCTGGTATCTTAGCATGCTGGTATCTTAGCATGACACTGGTGTTCAGCAGCTATGGACTTTTCCATTGAAAGCACGGTTTGTTTCACAGAGTCTAAAATGTTATTTAAAAAAGGCAAGAAGGAAGAAGTAAATGTTGGTATTATGTTGCTCAGAGAAGTGTTTTTCTTCTAGAAACTTTTTAGTATTTCAGTCCTTTCTCTTCTCTTACCCATTTTATCTCTTACTTGTCTTCTTTAATTTCAAGCACGTGTTCATTCAAGTCCAGATCTTTTTTCACACACGGTACATTTTTTATCATTCTCTAGTATTTTTGCGTTCTCTAGTATTTGTTAACAATGTAAGAATTGTCTTAGTATGGCCAAACTTCCATCTGTTGCAGTATCCTATTCAAAAGTGGCTAATAGCAGGTGTATAGGGAAAAGACAAAATAAGTCTTGCCCCCAAGTTTCCCAGGCCTCCAGCAGCTTGTGGCTCACATTTCTGGAATGTAGTATCTACACATTTCAGGTGTTTTTAATAGCCTCTGAGGGAAACCATGCACTTCCAATTTTTAAATATTTAACAGGTGAAAGTGTGGGCAGACCCATTTCATCTTTAAGGATGTTGCAGTAAGGCTTAAGTAAGAGAAACAATTCAGTTGTAGATGTCACTTACTAATTTATTGCAATTAAATATACTGAATGTCCGATACGATGCATTTTTCTTCATTAACAGTGAATTTTATGAGTATCATGCACTAATGATGGAGGAAGAAGGAGCAGTTATTGTTGGGCTGTTAGTTGGGTTGAATGTAATAGATGCTAACCTGTGTGTGAAGGGAGAAGACCTAGATTCACAAGTAAGTCAATACAGGTAAAGTAATAAACATGCAATCCATTTAGCTAATTTAGTATATGTGCTCTTGAATCATAGGGTTAACTTGTTTTCGACTCTTCATTCTAGTTACTAGCTACAGTTTTAGGCACTAATCTTGCCTACCAGAAGATGTAAAACTAAAATGTGCTTTTCTTAGTATTGAGAGTTGTATGTGTGTGTTAGAAATAATCATAACAAAGGGGTAGCCAGCAATATTTTTTTATCTAGGTCACTTGGTTTTGATGAATGAAGGAAGATAAAAGTTGGTTTGAGAAGGTGGTGGTGGCTGTCCAAATGAGATTTTAGAGTAATTGTGTTTGAAGAGTAATATAAATAAGGCACTCAGTGAAGCCAGAAGCAGCAAGTTGTATTGGGCAGAAAGATAAACTTCTGAAGGATGATGGAAGTCACAACCAGGAGCATAGTTTTGGTGTGCTGGAAGAATGCTATTCAGTGGTGAAACATATGAAATGGTGAAAATGCACTCATGGAGAATTAAAACAAAGTAACTTCTACAGAGATAATACTCTATTGAAATATTTTGCTTATTGATTTTTAAAAAGCTCTTGGAGAAGACACTTTTTAGAAAAGGTAGGGAAAGAACAAGTAGAAGATCATCATAGGAAGCTGACAAGAGAGCAGCAGAGCATAGTATAAACAAAGGAAATGTTAGACTGAGCAAGTTATTTGTTTTCAGAAGTGAAAGGAAGTTCAAGAAGGAAGCAGTACATCGGAAAAATTGAAATACTTTTGTTAAGAGGCAGCTGGAAACCAAAAAGGAAGGATTTTGGCAAAGCAGACGTTTTTAAATACTTTTGTGAATAGAATTGGAAGCAGAGCTTATGGTAATGTTTTTTTACATGATTAAATTACAGTTGAACAGAAAAGAAATTAATTAAATTCAGATTTAGCAAGGTTTTAAAAAAAATGACTGCAGTTGGGTTGGTATACCTGGGAATCAGCAAGTGTAGAGAGGCAGTACAATTTGACAAGAAAAATTGAAAAAAACATGGGAGAAACATTAGTTTGGGAGATGTGCTGTGGTAGGAAATAATATGAAACACTACAGATGATTTATCACAGCTCTACTCAATCACTGATGGGGTTCAGTAGTTTCTGATAATTCCCCAAATAAAAGTCTTCGTGTGAATTCTTGGCTAAGCTCAGTCAGAGGTAAGAAATGATCTTTTCTTTGGGATTTGGTATACAGCACATTGTTAATTTTGCTCTAAGGGAACATAATTCTTAACAACTATGAGAGGCTATACTTAAAAAAATTGTTTAAAATGTTACAGTTCAGTTTTTTGAGCTTCTGGCTGAAATTGGACCAATCTTAAAAAAGCTGATGTCACTCGGGTTTTATTAATTATGTAGATAGAAGACCATGAATATCAACCGCAGTTAATTGTATGGTATAAAACTGTGTGTTTGTTTTACCCTAGGTTGGGGTGATTGATTTCTCTGTGTATTTAAAGAGTGATGATGACATTGGAGGTAAGGAAAGGTATGTCCTCACCAAATACATCAGATTTTGCATGTTAACAAGTGTTTTCTTGGCTGGTGCCCTGTTCTTTGTAGAAAAAAGTCAGGCTCCCAAAGATGAAGTATTTTGATCTCACTGTCTTGAGAAAAATGGGATGCTACATGGTTCTGTATTACTAGTTAGCTGGAAAAATACTTGTACTCTGTAGCAAGCCTCAGCAGCATCACCTGCTTCCTTTACCTCACGGACAGTATTGAAGGATTGCAAGGTGTCAGTGAAAAGGAACCTGCTAACCTTTAAGCCCTCGCCTTGGGATTTAGTCAGTGTTTAAAAAAAACCAGAATTATGCCTTAGTACATGAACATCGTTTTTCTTTTGAGACTATGTTCTTATGTTTTGTGTAGAGAAATTGTTTGTAGTTAAAGCATTGGGGTGTTTTTTTTTCTCTCAATAATGTCATGTGTCAGTTACTGATTTCATGACTGTGAGATGAAGTTGCTTTCTTTCTTTTTAAAAAGCGCAATTAAGGTGGACGTTTGCATGAGATACATATTTTCAGGGCATACATGTACATTATAGTTCACTATATCATTTTGTTAAAGCTAATTTTATTATGTGCTTGCTTTAGGAATGTACAGATTGCTGCAATTTTGGACCAAAAGAATTATGTTGAAGAACTAAACAGACAACTGAAGTAAGTATTACTTTGAAGTATGCATGTCAGGCCAGGCTTAGCGGTAAAACACCTCTAATTCCTTTTATCGCACTGCTTTGTGGGAGAACTTCAGGGAAAGTGTTTAAATTGGGGATGTAACGGAGTTGGAAAGGATATACTCTTCTGGAGAGACTCACAAATTCTGGTTTTATGCTTTTGTTTTATACCATCAGAATCTTAATTCTTTAAGGAGACGAAAACCAGCAGGCCTAACTCATCAAGGTCCTTATGATTCATAACTTACCAGGAATTAAAAGCTTGATCTGGATTTTAACTGCGTTCTATTTAATAGTTTCCAAAAAGTGTTATTGGGTGTTCTGGATGCGAACATGTTTTTGTTTCTTTGCCTTTCATATTATTTTTGTTTGTAGCTTTAATGCCTAGGACCAAAACTGAGTAAGTTCACTGCCTGCTGGAAACTACATGCGCACTGTAGGTTGTGGTTCCTGTAGAAAGTTTTCAGGAAAACAGCCTTTTCCCCTTACTTTGCTGGATGGATCAAACCTAGTTCGCAGCTGTTTATGTTACTGTACAAATAGAGGAGCAGTGGTTGTAAGTCTCTGAGGAGTATTGTACAAAATTAAACAGTGGGAGGAGCTAAAAAAGCAAAAACAAACAAAGAGGCCCGACCAAAATGAAATGCCACTTCCATAAAGACCTTCTGTAGACCCTGTAGTATAGCTGATCTTCTTGATCTCTTTTTGAGATATAATAATATTCTTAATTTTTAATGCTCCTAATCTTGATCATTAGTTGCTATATGTCTGCTGTTGGGGTAAAGATACTCTGATTTGAAATTGTGTCAGTCACTGAGCAGAATAACTGAGTGCGTCCAATACAAGAGAAATGAAAGTTAAGGAGGAGAAAGGAACTATCACAATGAAGAGCAGTGGTGTTTGTGTAACAATAACTGTTACTCACATGAGCCCCTGTGTGCTGAATATGTCTTGTACGCTAGTTTATGCATTAACTTATTTGCAAACCAGTGGTTCAGCAATTCTTCTCTTTTATTTCAGGTCAGCTGTTTCTTTTCACACATCCTGAAATGCATTAATCTCCTCTACCTTGCCATTCTTAACTAACTGGTAACTCTTAAGAATACCAGAGTAGAAATGCATAGAAAAGTAAACAGTGTTAGAGAATAGGTTTGGTTTTTTTTTTTTTTGTTTGTGAAGTGCTGCCTAAAAAGATATGGTTACACCAGGAATAGGCAATCAGGTGATGGAGAAGACCTGGATATACAAGGGAATAAAATTCTGATGAGACTTGTAAATTAAGTCAAGAAGCATCAAGAAGGAGGTAGCCTGAGGATAAATCTCAAAAAATGTGGAGAAGCAAATGATTTTATAAAAGAAGTAGGGTTTGGAGGAAGAGAACCTGGAGAATGGGTTTGTTATATGGTGGGAAACCCCCCCAAGAAGATTGTAAGCTCTGTATTCCAAGATTGTAAACTCTTTTAAGGCAACTCGTTAAATATTTGGATACAGTGTAGTTGTGAGGGTAAAAGTAAGGGTGAACACATGGAAAGTCGCACCCAACCAGGAGTTCAGGTGACAGGAGAGACTTTGGAAGTTGGAAAGAAATGTATAAATGTTCAAGAAAGGAGACTAATTTTCTTGTATTTAGGAAAACCTCAAATAATGGGAGCAGACCTTTTAGCACTTAACCAGTAATCATTGTACCTTGCATTAAAGCTTTTGAGCTTGGCTGGGTGAATTTTGATGTAATTCTGAATAATGTTGTTTTTTTTCCTCTTTTAGTAGCACAGTTAGCAGTCTACATGCGAGAGTTGATTCACTAGAGAAATCAAACACTAAACTGATTGAAGAGGTATTATTTTCTTTTAATATTGTGTGATATTATTTATTCTCAAATGCTTTTTTCAAAATATGTTTATGGAACTTACGTAGATTAAAATAATGTATGATTTGTTCAGCTACCTTGAGTTTGGCTTGAATAAAAGGTGCAGTAGCTGCAGGGATTTGAAGTCAGCTTGCTTGGATAGCCTCCAACATCAGTAAATTTATTCTGCAGAATGTTGTAATTTCCCGCTTTGGACAAAGCCAGAAGTGAAGCCTTTCTTAATGCCAGCTGTCAGTCTGATTTTGTGCAGATGACTAGTCCATAATGGATGACACCAGATGCTGCAAAGAGACAAAAAGTAGTTCACCAAACAATTTCTATTGCAATTCTCAGCTTTAGGCAAAGGATTTTCTTGCTTCTTTACCATATACATATATACAAGTTTTTAGACTTGTCTAGCTCTGGTTTTGTATTTATATCCTATATTTCTGGTTATCTTTGATGCTTGACTAGATTCCAATATTTTTAGCTTTATAGAGAGAATGCAGTATTTTTTTTTAATCTAAGCTGCTTGAGAAATAGTGGAGAATCAAAATGTCTAAATTCAGCTGTTGAAGGTCATAGCTAGGTTGCTCTGAGTATTAATGTATCCAGAGAGAGGGAAAACATTAGTGAGTGTTAATTCTCAGAGAATTTGGATTCCTTTACAAGCCCTTGGCCCTACTATCCACCTATTTTGATCAGATGGCTTATAATTCTGTCATTAAGGTATACCCTGTAGGGCCCAGTTATAATGTTTTTTCTTTTGTAAATATGTTTTCATTTGGAAGAGCCTTTCTTATGTGAATTGCTCCATCTGATATATTAAGATACCAAAAAACCATGAACTAAACAGCAGAAGAGGATATATTTTAATCCAAATGGAAAAAAAAGAAGACCCAATAAATAGGATGAGGAAGGAGGAACTGAGGGTTTGTAAGTCATAATGATGCAGTTCTTTACCAGATGTAAAATAATGAAGTATCTTGAATACACTGTAGTTCTGTAATGAAAGTGCTTATTACTAAACCCAGGAGCTGTATGTTTTCTTTAAAAACAGTTAAATCCCAGTTTGGTAGACTGTGAGACTAGAGCAGAGAATGTCTTGGTCTTGCATTCATCAGAACACTTTTTTTTCTTTATTTCCATTCACAAAAGTGGTCACCCTGCTTTTCCTTTTTTTTTTTTTTTTTCTCTTAACTTTTCAGTTAGCAATAGCCAAAAACAATATAATTAAACTCCAGGAAGAAAACCATCAATTAAGGAGTGAAAATACTCTTATTTTAATGAAAACACAGCATCATCTAGAGGTATGGTAGCTTTATTGCATTTAATGTAGTAATGGTTCGTTGTCATTCAAATGTTTTTACATAATAACTTGAAGTAAGCTGGAAAGCTTTCTAATGGCATAAATGTATCAAAATTATAGGACGCTAGATTGTTTTATAACCATATGCAATTTTTGTAGTAGTGTCTTTTCTTGTATCCTTTCTAATTTTCTTCCCTTCTTCCTTTTTTCATTAGACTGTAAGCTATATCTAAGTGTTTAAGGCAGTATTATCTGAAAACCTTGTCAAAGTAGTGTGTGTTTTAGTTGGCAAATGTCTATTCTGACTTGTCTCATTGTATGGAATATCATTTGGAGTAGTTGTCTACAATAAAGCTGTTATTTGTACTTGTGTAACTTCTTGTATGTGTTTCACAGGATAATTGGTAAAAGCACAGGTTAAGCAGAAGTTTCCATTGCTTAGTACCAAAACAGTTGTGTGTTAGAGTGACTTACTGAAGGAGGACTGTACTGTAGTATAGATGTTTATTTTGGTTAATATACTCAATTCTCACTGTAAAACTGATACTGATGACCACATAGCAGAAACATCTTCTTCTATGTTGGTACTGTGCTTAGAGAATGTATTTTGAAGTTCCACCCTCCCCTCCCCAAATGTTAAATTCATGCTATTAATTGCTAAACTTGTGAAGAAGGAAGATAGATTCTCTATATCTTTGTAGGCAACTAAAGTGGATGTTGAAGCAGAACTTCAGACGTACAAACACTCCAGGCAGGGTTTAGATGAAATGTACAATGAAGCACGTAGACAGCTTCGAGAAGAATCACAACTTCGACAAGTAAGTGTTCTTTTCTAGAATCACACAGCATTTCTAGAATAGATTATGCGTGAGAAGAGTCTGTTTATAAATATTTGTAGTTTGCTTTTGCTGAGCTTAGATGCTGTCTTTAATCAACTTCAATTGCTTTTAATTGCCTGTAATAATAAGAGGTTTTTAACAGGGTTTTTAAAATTCTGCCCCTTTTTAAAGAGGGGCAGAATTTCTGAAGTGGTGAAATAGGTGATGCTGCAGCACTGTTAGAGTTAGCTTTTGTCTTTTTCAAAACAGAGATAAAATGTTGCATAGTTATTTAAATATTCTGTGTGGCATTGTGTTTGTGTTTTATAGGATATGGAGAATGAGCTAGTGGTTCAAGTTAGTATGAAGCATGAGATAGAACTTGCCATGAAGTTGCTGGAGAAGGACATCCATGAGAAGCAGGATACCCTCATAGGCCTTCGACAGCAGCTTGATGAAGTCAAAGCAATTAACATGGAAATGTATCAAAAGCTGCAGGTAGAGAAACAATCTGCTGTTAAACTGATGAAATGACTTTGGACTGAGAGAGATGCATTACAGTTTTGTTTAGTTAAATACCGCTGTTTCCTTAATTTTTGGTTTCTTTCCACTTAGATTGGCTTGTCATTTTTGAGCATTATTGATGGAAGCGTGATTTCACCCAAAGAAGTTCTTAAGGCAGTTACTTAACGTTAGTGGGTTTATAGAAGAAAAGAACATGAGAATAAGTTCATGTCCTAATTACATGCAATGTGGAATAGAGAGAGTAACAGTGTATCTAGTGATAACACTTTTTGGCCTGTGTTACATAAAAACTCAGGAGAATGTAGACAGATAGTAATGAATTAAAGAGGACATCTGAACTTTTGAAGTAAAGAAAGTCATTTGGAAAATAAGTTGTGTTAAATGGAAAATGCTAATTACAGTTTGGTTTCATTTACATTTTTTAACCTGTTAACAAATTAAGAAAATATGTACCAAGGCAGTGCTTTTTTTTTGAAAATATGAATCTTAGAGACCCAATATGCAGCTAACAGATGTCCAAACACGAGGGAATCACAGAAGCATAGAATAGTTGGGTTGTAAACACCTTATTTATGCAGAATATAAATTTTATTTATTGAATAAATTATCAAAAAACAGCACAAGAAACAAAATCTGTGGCAGAATGAGGAGGAAAAGCTGAGGGTGCTGTAGAGAGATAATTGAGGTGATGAACAAACGATGCTAACTTTTGCACCTGCAGCTGTGACGAAACTGGACCAAATGAAATATAAATAGAACTGGAAAAACAAACAAATAAACAACGTTTTTCAGTGTGTTTGGATCTGAAGGGTTTTGCTTTTCTTTTAAAACTGTACTTGTGGGGACTGGAGGTAATGCTGATTTCACTTAATGACATTCAGACTCGCTTCCTGGGTAGAGTGAAACAGTTTAATCATTCTCACTCTCTGCTGCTTAGGGACCAGTTGATAAGTGTTGATCTGTGCAGCAAGTGTAATGCTCTACCTTTTATTTAGATTTTCAAGCCACAGTTGTAACTGCTCTGCAAGCAATCAAACTTGTGAAACATGTTAGTAAAATTCTGGAAAGATTTTTAGGTGTATATGGTAGTTCGTTAAGAGTTGGAGAACCGTAGTGGTTTCCAGGACTAAGTGTCTTATTTCTTTATTGGTACAGTTCTAATGGATTTCTTGAAAAGATAAGTAGTGAATTTAGGCATAAAATTTTAAGTACTGTCAACTACGTGTTTTAGATAGGCATGTATAAAAATTCTCAAAATCTGAAGCCATATTAACATTTTCCCCTTTCAATACTGAAAAAAAACCCACCCTGTGAGGTAAAAGTTTAATATATATCTACGTCAGTTTTAACTTTTTTGTAACACAGGTATCTGAAGATGCTATGAAGGGAAAGAATGAAATAATTGGTCGATTAGAGGATAAGACTAATCAGATTAATGCAACTATGAAACAACTAGAACAAAGGTACAGGCCCATCTTTGTTTTTTTTCATTCATGTCTCCATCCCCTTACGTTTTACTGCATTCCTGTACAGTTGCCACTGAAATGTAACTTTCAACCAGAATATTTAACAAGAACATTTCTGAAACTTTAACTGGTGCTTTAGTTTTTGATTTTTTTTTTTTCTTTTTAAAAAAATACACACTAACTTCTAAATAGAAAGTTAATCTTTCAGATTTCTTCCTCTGCCATCTTTCTTCTTGTCCTAGGTTTTTGTGCTGATATCAAAAGTTGTTCTTTCAGCTGTTTCCAAAAGTCTGTGTTGTTATTACCTCTTCCCCTCATCCCCACCTGAATGAAATGCAATAGAAACCAAAGCATTAATCTTGCTCATACTTAAGCATGTGCTTAATATAAACATTTAATACCTTCATGGATCAGTGCTGTATTTGCTGAAGGTATTAAAATTTTTCTCCATTGCTTTGGAAGTTATTTTCAATGACATAATGACTTCTTTACACTGAAAGGCTGAAAAGTGGAAGACTTAACATTCCAGTATATGAATTTATATTATGGTTAGACTGCATGTATTACATAATATTAAAATGTGATTCATATATTTTAGTTTTTAGTAGCCTATATTCAACATTGGACTTTTTAACTGTAAAATATAACATATCCATAAGCCCTGTCATATGTTGGTGTTTGACATGTCCTTTTTTTTGTTTAAATCTGATTATGAAAAACATGGCTATGTATTAAAAAATTAGTGACATGAATATTCTTTTATTGACATCCTTTTTCCTCTTTTTTCTTTTTCTTTTTATCCTTTATCCCAATTTTTGTTTTTAATATTTTGCTGTCTTCATCTGTCTTTGATTTTTGTCCACTGCATTCATGAAGTGACAAAGATCTGTTAACTCAAACTAGGACTATTGCAATGTCATTCGTCAAATGTGCCAGCAATGAAGCTCAGCACCAGTATAAACTTGTCAAAGACATATCATTCTGAAAGCTCCTCCAGATCTGTTGCGTTTAAATAATCACTGATATAATATAACTTAAGAATTTTAAAATTACAACTTTAAATATCAAGTGCTATTAGAAATCTTGCACTGTAGCTGACCGTACCTGGGTTCTATTTTGTTTTCTGAAAGCACATCATCTCCGATCTCACTTTACCCCTCTTAACAAAAAAAAAAAAAAAGTACCCTACTGCACTGTTATTGAGCAAATGTAAGCTAGTTTTCTAATGCTATTTAATCACTTCTTAATTGTCAAACAAAGTATATTTTAAAAGGTTAGCTATCTTTATATGCTTTTATGACATTTTTTTTCCGATTAGTGGGTTTTCCTATTCTTTATGGTACTAACAGATTTTAAAATTAGCCATTCTGAGTAATATATCCCTTCCCCCCCTGCTTATTTCTTTCACTGTAAGGCTTTCACAAAAGCATGCTCCTTGTTGTGTTTTTTTTTTTTTCCTTTGCTTGTACCTAGCACTGTTTTCTTAAAGAATGACAGGAGTTTGGGGGAAGGGGTTTGAGCGCTACATCAGAACAATATATTTAGAAAAAGAACGGTGGTGTCAACATACATATTCATTATATACAGTGGAGGAATTATAGGATTTGGGGATAAAACAGCCAAAGATGTGAGGTAAAATATTTTCATGGAGTTAAAATGTGTTTGGAGCCTTGACTTGGCTCCAGGCAGGAAGGGGAGCATGATCTAGTCAATTCTGTAGTTCTGATTCCTGCCTAGAACAGCTGGAGCATGATAGCTACAGTAGAAATTGTAGTAATGAATAGGATTTACATTTAGGGCCCAGATCCTCAACTTGACTAACTTGCTTGTCAGCTAAAGATCTTGCCCATCTGTGACTATATTTACACTGTAATCATAACCTGTGGTTTTGCCCAACCCCTTCCCTCCACCCATCACTAGGCAGTCTTCACAGCTCATTTCTGCTTTGAGATGCTACCTGCCTGCACTGCAGAAACACAGTTATAGCTGCTGACTGCCTTTGATGCACTTCCCAGTGTTTGCTCTGAAGTGTGGAAGGGAAGTTGACTGGGAAAAGAGTCTTAGGGTCTTTCAGAAAGAAAGGGATGTGTTTGCAAAAGCTGGGGCAGGGCACAGTAGTTCAGAAAGGGTTTCTACTCCATGGTTATATACTGCCTCATTCCTTGGTTTGGTAGCAGAAGGAGCTTTTAACGTGGGCTGGCTACTAAAACATAAGTATCTCCCATCTTCAAGAAAACCCAAACCAGAAACACTGAATAGAACGACAGGTAGACCACAGCAGAACTGGGAGTGTTAACCATCTCACGATCATCTATGCAAACAATTATCTGCCTCAGTATCATCGGATTCTCAAATCCTGCTGCAAACTAGGTCCAGCTCAGCATTTGTCTGGAGTACAGTGTTGCAGTTAGCTTGGTGCTAAGTCTAGAGGTTGGTGCTGTAGTTTGGTTTGGCTGGCGTGTTTCTTGTGTAGCAAGCTCCCTTTCTACCTTTGTCATGGAAACGACACTGCAGTTTGATTTGTGATTAAGGAACAATTTTAAGTTACTTTTGCTTTTACAGTCTTGTATAGCTTAATTCAGCTGCTTTTGCCCAGTGAATTGGCTCTGCGTTTACCCAGTAGTTTCCTTTCCATACATTTTTTGGCCCTCTGTGCACTACCATTGCAAATGTGACTGGGAACATTCCTAAAACAACTGGTATAGTTGAATGAGATAGTACACACTTTATATGATAGTTTAATTCCAGCCTTTTTACATTTGTGTACTGGCATCTTTATAAAACTCCTGCTGGTGCAGCTTCATCAGTAGAAGCACAAATGTAGACATACCGCTGACTTAATTTCTTTTTAGCTGACAGTGGGAGTTGTGAGTTACTCTGCATTCAGACAGCTGCCAGGAAGTAAGAAATCAAGCACACAGAGAGAGTATCACAGATTTCTCCCGCTGCTTACCCCGAGAGGCCCTCAAAACAGTTTTGTTAAACACAGTGCAGTAGGTGGGGACATTAAGTGGTATTTTATGCGTTCTTTCACTCCTGCCTTTTCATCAAGACAAGTGTAGTCATGATACAGCACAAGTTCCATTTTAGTGCTTTTACTTTGTTACATTACATCCATCCTTTTTTGGACTGAAGAGTTGACCAAGCAGAGAGGAACCACGTTGAACTAATGGATTCCAAGGGAGTGCTAGCTGAAGTAGAAGCAAAACCCTGGAATTCAGAAGGGAAAGATTAAATAATAAAACCCCCAAACATTCCCCAATTTCTTAATCAGGTTTATTTATTTTGTATATAATATGGAGCTATTTTAACCAGTGTAAGAACATGTTATTTTTAATACAAATTATTTAAATTAATTGAATAGTATGATGTAGTAGAGGTAGTTCTGTTAATGTAGTGGGACCTGTCATGGTGTGTCTTGTTGTATTAGGCTGGTTAAGTTTTTTTGCTGTCTGAGTGCAGTGCTCTGTATTCAGTCTTACGCCTGAATTGTTTTGAGCTGCTTTTGCACAACACATGCTCTGCCCTATCTTAGTGGGCGATTAGTACAAACCAAGCGCTTTTACAGGATCTATTTGGAGGGAAGAAAAAAAGCTTCCAAAAAAAAAAAAAGCATCAAAGAAGATGTATGTGTCAGTTTGAAAATATGTATCATCATGTTTTGGCATCTGTTATTCATGAGCATAAAATAAAACAGTGATTACTTACACTGATTTCTCTCTTACTGTATGAAAAGACAGGAGCTAGTTCTGTAGGCATTGTATGGATTTCTCGTTTGAGTTTGTGAGTTTCCCCCAAACTTTGTTTTTATTTAGAAATATTTCTATTTCCCCATTTTTTCTTTTATTTGTCTTCTTCACCCTCTACACCCTAGTTCTAGCTTCAGTTTTACCCAAAGTTGATTTGAATTACACCAGATTGCAGCAAGCAGAGAAGGCTCAAATGGATGCTGAGGCTGAGGATGAGAAACTTAAACAGGAATATATGAATAAATCTGAAAGTCTGCAGAAAGAATTCTCCGAGAAGGAGAAACAGCTGTAAGTACATCTTTTCTGTCTGTAGAAGTATACAGCAGTAAACGTTCTACATTTCAGTATGTCCTGTGTCTTCATACACACTGGTTGTTGATAAATGGTTTTGAACAGAATGTAAATACTAATGTTCTTCATGTTAGGTACTGGCAAGGTGGAAGAAGGTATGCCACTCCAAGGAAGTCAAGCTACCTTTGGGTGCCTATAAAATAATGTGCAGCTTGAGGAGGAAGAACAGCATTTTCTGTCTTGAAGTGCCAGCTTAATACATGAAAAAATTATCTTAAGTGGGGCAAAATATGTAGTGTAGGAGTAATACACACTGACTAACAAAACCCACAAGTATATGGTAGTACAAACTTAAAAGAGAAATAGCGTTAAGAATAGCTTAGTTAATCAGGCTTATGCATAAGGTGGAAGTGGTTTAACTCACCACTGTGTAGGAAATAAAAATTTACTAGAATCATAAACATTAAAAAGTAATATAAAAGCCAGCCCTCTAGTTCTTCTAATATTAAATCCTTCAGTACTGATTTAAATAAATACATAGTGTAAAAAAGCTCCCTGTAAGGGCAGGCGTTGTCCCTGTTCGGAAAGGTAACTAGTAATTTATTTCAGGCAGTGCAAATCTGTGGTCCATCAAGGATTTGCGATCAAAAATTAGTGATTTTAAATCCAATTATTAGCCCACCCTGCTACCCCTTGTTTCATCTTACAATTCTGAATGTTAATAAACTTGTTTAATTGTCATGACAAATGTTCACTTTACTACACAGTCATCTTTGCAGATTTTGGCAAAAGAACAGTTCAGCCCCCAGCCTTAGAATTCTGCAATTCTGAAACTTCAAGGTCATGTTCACTTCTGATCTTTTCCACCCAGATGCTGAGGTAGTGTCCCAAAATGTAAGTCTTACCTGTAAAAATGGTTTTGGTTTTAAAACAGGAAAATTAATAAAAGTACAAGTTTTCCATCAAAAAGCCCTTGCATGACTACTCTCAGATTCTTTCCTCTTTTTTTCTGTTGGCACAATTTAGATCTAGAAGGTTGAGCAGTGTACTTCCATGTTTTGGTTTCTCTGTAACATTGTAAACACCAACACTCCCATGAAAATGGTAGTGAAATTCCAGGTAGAGTGGATCTCCAGTTAATGTAATAGATACCTCGTTATGTTGAACCTCAGCTATGTAAAAAGCTCATTAAAAATAGTCATTTAACGTTTCGCCTTTATTTTTTATTCTGTTCAAAATGCCATAAGCCTTCGTCTAAAATAGAAGATTCACATCTAAGGGTATAATATTAAATAGCTTTTATGAGCACCAGAGATACATGCAGTCATTGTCTGCATCACCGATGGCAGTGTGGTTGATTGGTTTGCTGTATTTTAGAAACAAGTTATGTAAGGTTAAGGGGGCTTTGCCTCATGCATGTTTCAAAAATACTTCTGAATTTGGTGGTTAATCTCTTGCTGTTGTATTACAAAGATCAGCTCTTCAAAATTATGCCATATTCTTGGTCCTTTAAATACACCTCTTTTTGAAAGTGTGTTCTAAATGTCAGTTTTGGTTTGTTTATTACATCACTGTCTAAAATACGTTACTGTTACATTATTTATGTTTTAGATAAAGTAAGCGTTGATAATTTGTTCGTTATCGTAAAAGTATATTGCACCCAGAAAACTAATTTTTGTTTTTTAAAAATTATACTTTTGTGCACATTGATGTTTTTGGTTGCTTTGCATATTCTAGACTTCAGCTGGAAACAGATTTGAAGATAGAAAAAGAGTGGCGGCAAACCCTAGAGGATGATCTTCAGAAGGAAAAGGAAACTCTATCTCATCTGAAAACAGAGACCCAAGAAATTATTAATCTTAAAAAAGTAAATTTTGTGGTGGAACTTGACTAGTAATTTAGAAATTGACTGCAAAGTTAATTATGCACTTAGACATGGTACTTTTAAGACTTTCTGCTAGTAGATAAGAAAGATTAGATTAATGCATTTTCACAGATAGACTAAGAAAAAAAGATAAGGTATTTTGCTCTCCATTTAGTCCTTAGATTAGGACTTGGTACTTGGAATGAGAAAAAATTAAGTCCTAATTTTCCTTTGTATTGTTGTTGTATTGAAGTTTTTGGTTTCTTATCATAGGCCAGAAAGCGCTTCAGCTTCTCTCTGTACAGCTTCGTGTACACATACATGGCTATATAGTGTTGTTGGTCTCTGCCATCAATCATTTTTATTTTCTTCTTGGAGAGGACTGCAGAAGCAAAAAAGCTTCATTTCTTGGGGTCTAAGAGAGTTTAATCCTAACTTGTTGCTGTTTGAGTTGGATTTGGGAATCTTAATAGGGAGTGTGATGGATCATTCACTTGGCTTTCTCAGTAAGATCAGTTTTGTGTAGTAGCAGTCAGTTTTCTCAGCATTAGGCAAATACAGTTTTGAGAATAATTGGTATTTGTCTGTTCTATTTTTTGTTTTAAGGAGTTCCTTAAGCTTCAGGAAAAGAACAAGCAACTGCGAAGGATATGTCAAGAGCAAGAAGCTGCTCTCCAAGAACTGGCATCCAAGCTGAGCGAGTAATTTCCTTATTCATGATGATTATTATTTTTGTCATATAAATTTGAATTAAGAAAAATAACAGGATGGTGGTCATGTGAATTAGACTGTATATAACCATATTGCCTAGGCACTTACCAAAAAGAACTGTCTAGTTAGTTCAGGTCTGTTTATTTTTACTTTTGGCTGGTGGGCTAGATGTGAATGTATGGGAAATTACAGTGCTCTGAATAGAAGATCATAGTTTAAAAGGGCCAGGGGGCATTAGGAGTTGTTTTGCATTGAAAACAGTTGTCTAGTTTGCGTGTTGTGGCATTCCACAGAAGGAGCCAAGTAGAGGTTAACAGCTCTGGCTCCAGCAGGACAGTGCTTTTATCTGTTTGTGAGAATGAATGCATGTTCATGAATTCCCTTCTTTGAAGAGATGAAGATTCTCTGTATGATAGTCACAGGGCATTGTTGCCAGGCCTGTAGAGGATATAGGGGATTGCTTTATCAAAACCCCTTCAGACTATAGTGAACAATAAGCTCTGAGCACAGGTTTTGTTATTGTTGTGTGTTGTTAAAGTTTCATTTAATGATCTCTGTCTTTTAAGTAGTTTTGCCATGACTAGTGTGGACTTTCATGCCCTAGAATAACTTAGTGTATAAACTATGAATCAAGTCATTTCTGAGTGGATTGGCACTGGATGGCTGTGGGGAGGCTGGTTTCTCTGTGACATAATGTGGTCTTGTACATGTCAAGAAGTTCAAATTCTGGTTTTGTACCAGTGCTGCGTGCTAGTTTTAGGTACTTGCACAGAGCTCTGCCAGTGCAAATTTCTGTCATCCACATAACCCCAAGCAAATTTACAGCCATTCAAACGATTCTAAACAGCCATTCAAGCTCTTTAGAGAGAGCTTGTCTTTGTGTAATGCTTAGTAGAGCAGGGCATGATACTGATTGCATCTCCTGGATGCTGTTATAATATAAAATGCTAACTAAAAGTTCAAAGTAATTTGCTTACAATTTTTTAAGTACCTACAACTTTTGAAGTTGTCTGACTGTAACTGACAGTACAGAAGTTTGAAAGAGCATTATGTTATTCTTCAGATCAAAGCTGAAAATAGAAGATATAAAAGAAGCGAATAAAGCGTTACAGGTGAGTTTTGGGAGGGGGGGGAAAGAATTTTTTTTTTTTTTTTTTTTTTTTTACTGTTCCCTTCAAAATCTTTTGTAAGCATGAGCAGACTTCTCTTCAACAGCAGCTATACGGACAAGACTCGTTGTCTGACTTCCTCCAGCAGGAGGGAACTGCAGATTCCCTGTAAACTCACGGGGGAAAAAGAAGCTCAGTTGCTTTTGACTTTTCTTATTTGAAGTACAGCTATGCATTTTGACACTTCTGATGGTGCACCATTTGGTATTTTACAAAGCGTATCTGGGACAGAATGTAGCCAGCTGAGCTTAAATTATGTATTACTTCTCAATGATCAATAAATATTTGATCATCTGAGGAATTAAGTAAACTTGTAGCACCTGATTCAGAGAAATCTCCAGGAACTCTCCAAAAGTTTTAAGTTGACAAGCAGGTATTCTTCATTGCGGCACCAGGAGACACGGGGGATGGCTCCTCCAAGCGTGTTTCGTCTGAGCATCAACCAGGCTGTGATTATATTGTTCTTAAACATACATATTCATTAGATTACGTACATTACATCATACTTTTAAGAGAATGCCTCCTGTATGCATACAAAAATGTGGTAGTGGGCTTTCGGACCCCTGGTGGTTATTTCTTCATCGCTTTGTTTTAGGATCATTGTCATATCAGTCATATCAGTAACCACCAGGTGGTTCTGGCAAAGCTTATCTTAGTAATTTCTCTGTAGTTGCTAACAAAGCCTAATGTTCTTGAGGTTACTTATTTACAACCCTGTTCTTCAATCAATCCCATTCTTCAATCCCCCCTTTTCTTGTCCTATTGCAAATTCTTTTGCAACTGAGTTATTTCATATTTATTTAAAGTTTCCTGAAGTATTTCCCTGTTTCTACTTGATGCTTAATTTTGTTTCTCTTCCATTCATCACAGTTCATCATGGTTTGTTTGCAACAACAAAAGGAGCATTGGACCATTATGCATGTAATTACAACCATTCCTATTATTACAAATACAGTAAAAAAAAAACTGTCTCAACCAGGAGAGATTGGGTACCCATGATGTTAATTTTTTCCAGATTTCCCCAGATCCCCATGAGGTGTTGTCCTGTGCCACCTCATGAAATATTTTAACTTGTTTCCACATTTCCTTTAGATCAGTAGTAATTCTTCCACTTTGATCTATATAAGAACAATAGCTATCATTGATTACAGAACAAACTCCTCCTTGGGATGTTAACAGTGTATCTAATGCCATTCGATTTTAGAGATGGAATAAGCCATCTAACAAAGCTATGGAAAGCAATATTTTGTTCTGCTATGGGATTATATCCTTGTTTGATTCTTTTAATAAAACTCTGAACCCAGGTTCCAGAGGGATGAATGTCAATTACTGTAAAGTTTGGAACCACTACTCCTAGTGTGCATGTCCCTTTCCAGTTAGGAGGCAAAGCCTTAAAGGCATTTTCTCCACATAACCAATACCACCCTTTCCCTTCGGGAACATTCCAGTAACCAGTTAAAGGTTTTTGAAGGTGAAGTTGCATTGACCAGCTGCAGTATGGGTAATTTCCTACTGACATGTTGCCTTGATTAAGAGTTTTGTTAGTGGTTACACATTTAACTTCTGACATACTTGAGGCTTGTATCCTTAAAACCTGTAACTTTGTATGGCTGTTGTCGGTATAAACAGCATCTCTCCATAATCTATTCCAGTTTGTCTTAAAGGGAATAGTGAGGCCAATTAAAGGAATACCCAGTCTCTCTCCTGATTTAGGTAGCTGAGTACAGATCCAACAATCAGTCTTGTTTAAGACATTAGTAACCTTTTGTATCAATTTCAGATACAGATTTTGATTCCATGCTTCTACACCTATTATACAAGTCCAAATATGATCGATGTAGTCTCATATGTGTGGGTCCTGAAGACTTGACACGCCGTACTTTTTCTTGGTTCTGATGTGTTTCTGGTTCTGGTGCCTTCTTGATTCTTGAGTAATGTATCCAAGCAGGCTGTTCCTTTATCTTCACTGCTGTAAAGGTAGTCAGTAATACCTGGTATGGTCCACTCCACTTCTCTTCTAGGGGATCACCTGCAAAATTCTTAATAAAAACCCAGTCTCCTGGCTTAAAAGGATGAATAGGATAATCTAAACCTCTCGCTCTTGTCCCTAATATTCTCTTATTTATTTCTTCTAATTGTTTTCCCAGATTGATCAGAAACTGTTGGAGATAGCCTTCTCCCACTTCCTGAAGACTTTCTCCTTTAAACTGGGACTGATATGGTCTTCCAGATAAAATTTTGCATGGGCCAGCCTCTTCTTTCGACCGAGGTTTAGCTTGAATTCTTAATAGAGCCAGCAGTAAGGCTCGGTACCAATATAACCTGACATATTTTATTAATCTGTTGTTTGATCAGATGGTTCATCTTTTCTACTTGTCCACTGGCCTGAGCCCTGTAAGGAACATGTAGTTGCCAATCAATTTCTAAGTTTTTCTAACTTCTTGTAACAATTTTGCACTGAAGTGTGAGCCTCAGTAGGAAGAAATTGCCTCTGGTACCCCAGAACAAGGTATTATGTCATTTAATAATGTTTTAATTACTTGTCTTGCATTATTTATTCCACAAGGGAATGCTTCTGGCCACCCTGAAAAGGTATCTGTCAATACCAACAAATACCAATAACCTCCTTTTCTAGGTTATTCAGAAAAATATTTGGCCCTGTTGTCCCAGATAATTCACTTTTCCAATTGTCCCTACCTGATTCCTGTTTTCAGTCTTAGGGTTATTTTTCAGACATAGTTGACATTGTTTTGTCACTAATTGCACTATGGTACAGAAATTTCTTCCTATGATCTGTTTAAATGTTGATACAAGGCATTACTTCCCCAATGTGTTTTGTTATGTTCTTGTATCAACTTCCGTAATTGATTATAAGGGATCACTACTTGCCCATCAGGTATTTTTATCCAACCCTTTTCATTTTCCTGTCCTTCCAAGTCTTCAATTAGTTTCATATCTTCTTTAGAGTACCTAGGTTTATTTTGCTCAATTACCAGTTTACTGTCAGGAATTAAGGACATCACCTCAACTCTTTTTGTTTCTGCTGCCCGTTTAGCTTCATGATCAGCCAGATTATTTCTAATCTCTTGATCAGAGTTACCTCTTTGATGTCCTTTACAATGTATGATAGCCACTTCCTTGGCTAATTGTACAGCTTCTAACAATCGTAGAATTTCCGCTGCATGTTTAATTTGTCTTCCCTGCGTATTTAAAAAGTCCTTGTTCTTTCCAAATTGCTCCATGTGCATGAACCACACCAAAGGCATATTTGGAATCAGTCCATATGTTTATCTGCTTGTCCTTTGCCAACTCCAAGGCTCTTGTCAGGGCTATTATTTCTGCCTTTTGTGCTGAGGTGTTAGAGGGTAATGGTTTAGCTTCTATTACCTTTGAAGTTGTAGTTATGGCATATCCTGCTCTTCGTTTACCATCTTTAACAAAGCTGCTGCCACCGGTGAACCAGGAATCTGCACCCTCCAGAGGCTCCTCCTTCAGATCTGGTCAGCTCGAATATACTGTCTCTATTGTGGCCAAGCAGTTGTGAGTTGATGGTTCGGTAGGGGTTTCCTGAAGGAAAGATGCTGGATTCACAACATTAGTGATCACAATTTCCACATCATCCAGTTCTACTAGGATGGCTTGATACTTCAAGAAACGTGATGGCAATAGCCAGTGTGTACCTTTTTGTTCTAGGACTGTTGATACTGCACGTGATACTAACAGGGTGATCTTTTGTGCCAGTGTAAATTTTTGGGCCTCTTGGATGTTTAAGATGACTGCTGCCACTGCTCACAAGTATCCAGGGCAGCCTTCACTTTGTTCATCCAGTTGTTTTGAACAATAGGCCACTGCTCTTTTATAAGATCCCAATCTTTGAGCCAAAACCCCCAAGGCTATTTGCTGTTTCTCATAGGAATATAGGCAAAAGTGTTTAGTCATGTTCAGGAGCCCCAGAGCTGGAGCTCTCATGAGTTCTGTCTTTAAACTTTTAAACGCTTCTTCAGCTTGATCTGTCCATTTTAGAAAGGTTGGATTTTCTTTTAGCAGCTCATATAAGGGTCTTCCCAGAGCACCATAATCATGGATCCAGAGTTGACACGATCCTGTCATTCCCAGAAATGTCCAGATAATCTTTTAACTGTGGATGGTCACGGTGTTTGACATATTGCTTCCTTCTGAGCTGCTCCAAGTTCTGATTGTCCTCCTGTTATTTTACATCCTAAATAAGATACTCGAGTTCGAATTAGTTGAGCCTTCAATTTAGATACCCGGTATCCATTTAGCCCTAGAAAGTTTAACAGTTCTACAGTCCATTGAACAAATTCCCTCTCAGTTTTAGTAGCAATTAACAGGTCATCCACATACTATAGTAAAGTTCCTGTCTGGGTAGGTGCTTCCCAGAATTCTAATTCTAGTGCCAATTGATTTCCAAAAATGTGAGGTAACACCGTCCAAGTGAGCTGTGTCCTTCCTGTTTCAGGGTTTTCCCATTCAAAAGCAAATAAATTTTGACTTTCTTTGGCCAGGGGCAGACAGAAAAATGCATCCTTTAAGTCCAGAACGGTAAACCACTCCTGATAAATATTCAATTTAGTCAATAAGGTATACAGATTATCTACTACTGGATGAATATTCTCCACAATTTTGTTGACTGCTCTGAGATCTTGAACTAATCTGTAACTTTTCCCATCGTATTTCTTTAATGGCAAGATAGGAGTACTATATTCTGATTCACATTCAAATAATAATCCATATATTTAAAAAATTATTTCTTTGTTTCCCTTTTGATCCTCCAATTTTAAGGGATATTGTTTAATTCTAATTGGGCAGGCCCCCATTTTATTTCCACATTAACAGGCAAAGCATTTTTTTCGCCTTACCTGGAACTTCAGATGCCCATACTCTCAGATATACTTGATTAAGTATTTCTTCTATTTCAGGGAGGTCCTCCTGTTTGCTTTTCTGTTGAATTAAAGATAAAACTTCAATTAATTGATCGTTTTTGACTCTTAATTCCATTTTGCCTTCTTTAAATGTTGCTTCTCGCCCTAATAAAGATTTTTTTGGAGGATTTGGCATGTATAAAAATTTATGAATTCCTATTTGTTTTCCCAATTTATACTCTAAAGGTTTCAGAAAGAATGCTTTTCTTTGGTTTTGTTTCCCCCCGGTATTTTTTTTTTTTTCCTTGGTGGCCAGTAGTTCCCACCTCTGTCACAAATTCTTTTCCTCTGATTTAACGTCGAATAAGTTACTCCTGTATTCACTTAAAAATTCCACTTTATTTCCTCTAGTCCCAAGTTTTAATTTAATCAGTGGATCTGCTAGGGTAGATTTCCCAGGTCCCTGTCAGTCTAGTTCCAGTTCAGTCACTGGAGCCACCCCATGGCGCACTCCTCCCAGGGCAGTCTCACTTCCAACATCCAAACTCCTTACAGTATGCACACTGATCCCTTCCCACAGGAGAATTCAGTTTCTCACCTCTGCCTGTCATTCCTCCTCTGCCTCTGCCTCGTCCTCTCACATTAGTCCCTCCACCAGTTTCTACTTGTCCCAAAGCAGCCCCTGTAGCCGTGCCTACAGCACGACCCAGCTCTTTCTTCTCTACATGTTTCTGATTCCAGTACACTCTCCACACTTCTTTAACATTCTCAAGTCCTTCTGCTCTGTTGCCAGTGACAGCAACCTCTTCCTCCTTATCAATAACAGATGGGGCAGATGCCAAGAGTGCACCTCTCAGAGATACATAATCCCCCAACCTATCTTCCTGATTACTCTGTTTGGGTTTGTTTTGTTTTTTGTTTTTTTAACTTTAAACATCATTCCCCCAATATCACAGGCTGAACAACATCTCTTCAGCTTAGCTTTCTGTTTTTCCCTGTCCTTTTCCAAAGCCAAAATTAGGGATCTGGCAGAGCTATATTAATTTCACATTTCGTCTGCCACTCTGGGTGGTTTCTTAAAGTGAAAAATATATCTGCACACATCACTTCTTCCCATTTTCCCTGCCGCCTGTAACAATGTATTATAATTCAGAGTTCCATTTTTAGGCCATTTCTCCTGATCCCCCAGAGTATACAAGGGCCACCATTGGTTACAATATTTCACCAATGTTTTCTTATTTACTGAGCCCCCAGGAAACCCTCCTAGTTCTTTCCAGTGTGCCAAAATGCACCCTAAAGGACTTTTTCAAGATCTCTTCACTCTGCCAATCTCCCATTATCTATCTCGCATTCACATACACACACATGGGATCCCACAGCCACACTCCACACAGTTACAACACCTGAGGCACAGACAGAGACTAAAACTGTATCAAATGAACAACAGTAAGTCTGTCACCAATATTAAAATCACAAGACCAAAATCATCGCTATAACAAGCCGCAAAATAGACACACTCCACACAGTTGCAACACTTGAAACAGAGACAATTGATAACGCAGTTACAACAGTCTGTCACCAATACCAAAATCACAAGACAAAAATCATAATTATAACAAGCCACGGATTAAGTCAAATACCAGTAAAAAATTCCAAAACCATTTCTACAAGACGCCCACTGCGTCTTGCAGGACCCAAACCACAAGATGCCCCCTGCTTCTTGCGGGTGTATACCAAACGGACACTAGCAGCTGGGTATACGCCTTTACCCATGAGATTTCCTATCTCAATTTACGGAAGGCTTCCAAACCTTGCATACGCTTACCAAACCAATTTACCAAACTGAGATGCCCCCTGCATCTTACAGACTATATAAAAGAAAAGAATACCTTTTATGAAGATGGTCCTTGTCTGCTCCTGCAGTGATCCAAATGAGTCAAGGGGTCCCTCCAGGAAAAACTCCCGAGGGCCCTAGGGAGACCTGTCCTCAGTGGGTCCTGGAGCTGAGCAGAGAGGGTACCATCTGGGGTCCCAGATTGATTTGGAGAAATCTCCAGGAACTCGCCAACAACGTTTTCAAGCTGAGAAGCAGGTATTCTTCATTGTGGCGCTGGGAAACACGGGGGATAGCTCCTCCAAGTGTGTCTCCCTCGAGCATTAACCAGGCTGTGATTACATTGTTCTTAAACATGCATATTCATTAGATTATGTACATTACATCATACTTTTAAGAGAATGCCTCCTGTATGCATACAAAAATGTGGTAGTGGGCTTTTGGACCCCTGGTGGTTATTTCTTCATCACTTTGTTTTAGGATCATTGTCATATAGGTAACCGCCTGGTTCTTAGTAATTTCCTTTTCTCTATAGTTGCTAACAAAGCCTAATGTTCTTGAGGTTACTTCTTTACAACCCTATTCTTCAGTCAACCCCATTCTTCACGCCAAAGCTGATAAAATACGATCTGAAATGTTAAGAGGTTTGGAACTTTAAAGATAGGGAGCACTGAGAGCAGAGATTTTGTCTGCACATGTTTGAACATGTGGCATGCGAAATTGCATATTACTTCAGCACAAGTGAAGATGTCTGAAATGGTTTTGTTGAGCAGATTCCTGGTTTTATTAATTGGTTTAGACAGAAGGAAATTAACAGTTCTTGATACTGTGTCCTGGGTTCAGCAGTAGCAGTCACTTTTCTCCTTCTTGGTAGCTGGTGCAGTGCAGTGTTTTAACTTTCGGCTTGGGAACTGAGCTGATAACAATGATGTTTTGGTTTGGCCAAGGACTTTGTGAGCCTCATGCTCTGCTAGGGAGGAGGGGAAGCCCAGAGGAAGCAGAGACAGGACACCTGACCCAAGCTAGCCAAAGAGGTATTCCATACCACAGCACGTCATGCCCAGGATGTAACTGGGAGTTAGCCGGAAGGGCTGGTAGACTGCGGGGTTGGAGGAGGTATGGGTCGGTGCTTGGTCGGGTTGGGGGGGGGGAGTTATCAGTTGGCTGGTGGTGAGATGTTGTATTCTCTTCCCTTGTTATTTCCTTTATCATTATTATTATTGGTGGTAGCAGTAGTGATCTCTGTTATACCTTAGTTACTGGACTGTTCTTATCTCAACCTGTGGGAGTTGCATTCTTTTTGATTCTCCTCTCTGTCCCTCCGGGAGTAGGGGAAGGACAAGAAGGGGGGGAAGTGAGTGAACAAGCTGTCTGACTGGGTTTAAACCACGACACACTGACCTGTTTTGTTTTGTTTTTTCTTTTCTGCAACTTGGGGACTGTTCCTGCGTGATGGGCAGGGAAATAGACTTCAGCTCTGAGACTTGAGATACATACCTTTCTGCTTTTTCTGGCTCAGTCCTTGACCAGCTTTACCACCTCAAAGCCCGTTCGCTTTGCACCTCTTGCTCTGTCTCGTCTCACAAAGTTTTGCATTGTTTTAGAGTGGCCTTGTACTTATTTAGAGTCTCTGTGACATTATACTGACCTAAGGGCATGCAATAATTCAGGCAGTAAATACTGCTGTTGATTTGTCTTGTTCTCTGGAACCCAAAGTTTAACTTCATCAGATACATACATTTACAATATTTTTTCTCCAGGGCCAGGTTTGGTTGAAGGACAAAGAGGCTACACATTGCAAGTTATGTGAAAAGGAATTTTCTCTTTCCAAAAGGAAGGTAAAACTTCAGTGATTTTTCTTACAACTTGTTTACATGTATTATGAGAAAAACATTAAATGTATTAGAGATGTAGCATGAAATGTCAATGCTCAGATGAATGCATTGTTATTTCTGAGATGCCTTTCTAGTTCCTTGGTATTTACAATGCACCTGAGCCCAGGTTTCACAAGAAACACTGCCTTTTGGTGAAATGCTATTGTGGAACATAAAAATCGTTCAACCTACTTTGTGGAATCATCATTTCAAATGCTTGTCAGGTCTGGAACTGTCACAGTTTGACACATGTGGAATTCTTTTTGAGGCATTTTTTTACAATAGCCTAAGAAAGTACAAGGTTATTGTCGTTTTAAAATAAAATGGGATGTTAATTTCTATGCTTTATTAACACGTGCAGGAATTTTTATTTTACCTTTTTATGTTAAATCTCAGTTAGGTGCCTGACAGAATCATCCGGTCTGGAGTATCATTGCTTGTACTACATTTTTACATAGCAGAGTATGTTCTTAATTCAGGGATTATATCTGCAACTGGTGGTTCAATCCTAGACAGACCATGGTTTGTCTAGATGAATTTAGATGAATTATCTTCTGAAAACCGATTCCATGCTCAGACCAGAGAAGTGCAAGGAATCACATTTCAGATTGCTCTGTGTATACTGTTTATTGGTATCCAATTACCAAGTATATTTCTAGTGTAAAAGTTTTAATTTTTAATCTTCTCTCCATTATTTAGCATCATTGTAGAAACTGTGGTGAGATTTTTTGTAATGCCTGTTCGGACAATGAACTGCCTCTGCCTTCTTCACCAAAGCCTGTTCGGGTCTGTGATTCCTGCCATGCAATACTTATACAGAGGTGCTCTTCTAATGTGCCGTAAGAGTATGCTACAAGATATTTATAACCTTTTGGTATTTGGCTAATCCTGTAAAAAGAGAATGTGAACTAAAGAACATAGAGCAGCATTTCAAGAATTTCAGGTAAGCAGTTCAGAGTTGTATTTTCAAGGTACTGTAGAGGAGTTACATGCCTGCTTTGTTTTGAAACAGAGAAAATGGGACCCAAGTGTAGAAAATGGATATGTTAAAAATACAGATGACAATGTTAGTCTCATGAATGGCTTGGAACCTGTTTTGGAGGAATCAGGGCTGGTTACAGAGGAGACTTGGTGTTAACATCTATTTGATGAGTATCTTAGTCATTATGATGATCTTGAAAAAGATGATGTACTTACCTGCTTTTACAGGCTAGTCTGCAACAAGGCCAACCTAATATTGCTGCAGAATGTGCCTGTGATATGCTGCTGTGAAGCAAAACTGTGCAGTAGGTAGTTTTAAATTGTATTAAAAAAAAAAAAAGCAATGCAATTAATGCAGTGGTCCAATGAGTTACTGCCAAGTAACTGTATGTGTTTACTTTCCCTCTGATCAAGATTGGATATATCCAAGAATATTGCACTGACAGCTCTGTTCTTTGTAGTCACAGGTGTAAGGGGAGATTTTGTCAAGCAGGAAACAAGCAGTGCCTCTAGGCACTTGGGTCATGGGAGGTGCATTTTGTTGAATTATTTTTTTAAATTAACTATTAATTTGACGTATCTGTGTTTCCAGTTAAAAGAGAGATGTCCATCACAAAGTCTTTGCCTGACATTGTCTGTAAAATTATCTTTGTATTGTTTTCATGTAAGCTGTATGGCTCTGGAAGCAGGGTGAATCTGCCAGTTGGAAAGACTAGGGTTAACTACTGGAGACCGCATCCTTTCAGTGTTGGACAGGAAAGTTCTTTCTTATTTTGTCATCATCTTTCTCAAACTTTCAGAATTTGCTCCTAAACGGCACTTTTTTTTCCCAGAGCACTTTTCAGTATATCCAGGTCTGACCTCTCTTCACACCAACGGTAACTTCTGCTGCAATGTAAATCTTCATTCTTCCTATAGGCAAATACATCCCTTGGTAAATATTCCCCACTTTACCGTCACTTCACTAGAACCAGTGTACCCTCTGCCCTTTAGCTGCTTGTGTGATGGGTTCCAGATGTGGAATCTCTACGCTCTGGCCAGTACTGACAAGCCATCAGCAGAATTACCAGCCTGGTAGTTCTTTCAGCCATGGGCTTGGAATATGCTTATAAACAGGAAAAGGTCTCTCTTGAAACAGGTCTTCTAATTATTCTTGTACTTTGTTTAGCTTAGCGTTGTCTCTTGAGGGTAGGTGTTTAGTTAATATTCTAAAAGCCAATAGGTCTGTTCTTTTTAACACCCCAGTGTAGTCGCTTATGTAGCTTTTGTAAAGAAAAATGTTTTTAAAATTACCTGATGTAACTTTTTTGTGAATACAAAACAAATACTTGTAAATCTGTAAATATCTTTTGGAAAAAATAAATTTAATTGATCTGCCACTTAACTATGTGAATGTCACTAAATTTGTAATTCAGAGTATTAGGTAGGACTTGTTCAAGTTGCTTAGAAGTCTTTGCATATATTGAGGAGTGGCAACCTACCCCCTACTAAGGAGATAACAAAGCAAGTGCTGCTTATGTTCCTGAAAGTATTCCAAGTGTTTTTTCCCATAGGCTTTATGTGGGGCAAGTATGGAGACAGCAGGGTGCAATCTAGGATACAGAGGGTGCTCACTGGTACTGCTTTCCTAACTAACTTTTTGAAAAGTATGCAACTAAACAAAATTAATTTTAAAATAAGCAATCTTTTAAAAGTAAGAAGACAGCACATTTCTGTAACATGCAATATATTAAATTTGTATTACTTAACTGCAATCTTTCCCTCTCCCCTGTACTTGCCTATTTGCAAAACAACTGCCTTAAACAAAGGGGCAAGTATTCTATGTTCTCGGTGATTTGATTTCCCCTTTCTGTCAAACAAACACTGTTCTTTGACAGATCGTGGTTTTAAATTATCCTCACACCCAGCATAGGAACATCTGTGTTCATCAAGAGAAACTTGAACTGGGCAGAGTATCAGAGCATAGTTTGTTCTTCTTGAGAAATGATTTCTGAGTTCATGAGTTTAGGGCCTGAGCAAGTAAGCAGAGAAATATGTTCCTCCTCCTCCCCACACCAATCGACACACACTGAACCCACTTTCTCAAAAAGGTAGGTCAACCTACTGCGTTTGCACCCGCCTCTCTGAAAGTAAAGGGAAACCTCAGCTGGCTGCTGGTGTTCCTTCTCATAAAACAGAACACAAAATATACCCAAGTGAGGAAATGGACCAGAACTGACAGTATTTTGCAGATACCTGCTATGCTGGTAGAAAAAAACCTGCTTCTATTACATGTACATGTCCTCCACCTTGCTCTAAGATGCTTTTTCCTGCACCTGGATTAACTTTTTTCCTGACCTTTGCCATCTTAAGTTTTCTGAAATACAGCAGCTTTTTCAGGAGCAGACTAAGAACCCACAAGAGCAGAATTAAAACACTGGTGTTGAGGCCTCATCTTCCCTCTCCTGCCTAGCCAAAAATACTCCAGAACTTGGAAAGCTTCCTGGGCCAATTACCCTTTCACAGCTTTTATTTCCAGTCACTATGAGACAAAACCACAATCTCTAGTGAAATAAACTCCATTCTCCTCTCTCCCACAAGAAGACATTTATTACATATATAACACAGTACTAGCAAAACAGGTGACAGATTTTCAATACCCAAGATCACATTTGACATTTTAAGGGAGGCATTGAGAACAAAGCAATTAATTTGGGAGATCACACTGGCTCAGAAGAATAAATACCTTTTTTCATTACACATCAGGTATGTTAAGTGTCTTCAAACAATAGTTGCTTACATATCTTACATGTCACAAATGCACAGAAAGTTTTATCAGTGTGTTCAGGTTGTGTGGAATTTACCAGGTAGTGGGCTTATCATTTTAGAGATATTTTGCTTCTAACGAGCTCATCTAGAGAATGGCTTGTTAAGTTTTGAACAAACACAAAACAAGTCAGCTCTGTGCAGGAAGAAAAACAAAAAGCGAAACCGTGTTTAAGTACAGTAATTTCATGAAAGAAAAAGTATCTAACTTGCTCCCAAAGCCCCCGCTCTTCCCAAAAGCGGTTTTTAGGGAAAAGAAAGATTAAATAGCTCCAAATTAACTAGTATGTGACCCACTCTGTGTTAGCAAAAGCTGTGCTAGTATTACAGTTTGGTTTGCATGTTACATGTGTGGAAATAAACATCACTGCTTGGTTTGGTGCAGGCACAAAACCTGGGCACTACTCGTTTATGCAGCCATGCACCTGAAGGTGATGGTGGACTGTGGTAGTACAAAAAAGCCAGCACACTGACTTGGCCTCCAGAGCATTACGCTGTGTTGAGATTATTACACAACTTATGAAAAGGGTTTAGGAAATACTGTTACCAAATCAACTAACCTAGTCATCTACCTTTTATCCCCTTAAACAAGTGGATTTTTCAAATTCAATTACTACACCAAGATTACATAGAACTGAATCAGTGTTCATGGGAGTCACAGTACAACCACCTTTATTGAACCACAGTACAACATCTTAAACCGACTGTAGTCTTGAATACGTAATACATCCTTAGGAGTAACTAGTATAAAAAGTATCAACATCAGTGGTTTGAATATAAAAATTTATTTAAAGTCAGAGTATGCAACAAATAAAACCTACAGAAAACAGATTTTCCCATCACAATCTGTTGCTTACCAAATAATATTGTGAAAACACATTCCTTCAGTCATTATAAAGTTCTTAAAATACAAAAGAAATTAAATTTTGTAAGAAAGTCTAGTAGACCAGAGACTGTTTCTTCCAGGATGTTTTGTAGAAGCAAGGCTACCCTTCAATACATTCCACGCCATCCTCCTCCACCCATAGTGCCTTGCCCATAGTATCCTCCAGTATTTCCAGTGCCACGACCTGCAAACAATTGACACAAGGTCACGCATACATACCTTAAAAAAAGAAAAAATGTGATGGGTAATACAGAACGGTTGAAATGACTTAACTTCTACTCAAACAAAGATACATCAGCACTGTTTTTTTTAAAACAAGCATTTGCTGTAGTAGCAAAATGATAAACCCCCAACTGATTTACAGTTTAAACTGCTGCCCCCCTCCCTCTCCTCCCAGCTACCCCCAGCCCACAATGCCCACCACCCTGCCCCATCATCCATTACTAGATGGACATTAACAGCATTTCCAACAAATACATGAAAAGCAAAACTTATACTTACTATATCCACCCAGGCCATCAGGAGTTCCATATCCTCCACTGTAATTGGTACCTATTCCCATTCTACCCACAGGGCCATAACCTTGATCTGAAAAGCAGGGAAGTGCACCATTACAAACTTGGAACTCTACACTGGAGAAAATGTTGGCTAAGGTTGGAATTGATACATACCCATTCCATCTCTGCCATAGCCTCCCATGCCAGAACCACCTCCAGCAGTTGAATTCAGGAACAGTTCAATATATCGATGTTCTGTAGGAAACAAAAAAGCCTTGTGTTTTGTTTCAAAAACCAGACGCAAAAAAAAAGAAAAACCAACCCCAAAAAAACCAGCCACCAAACAAAACCCCACCACCTTACAAGTGACAGCTGCCCACAAAAAGCAAGTCTGAAAGATAAATGGCAGAGCAAACCAAGTTAAATGCCATTTAAACCATAATATTATTTTACCCTTATATAACCCACTAAAGCCTAGCTGAAGAAAGCTTCAGGTAAATACAATACTCACGCATGTGATTTTTATCCTTAGACATGGCAGCTACTGCATCCTCATGTGTTACAAATTCCACATCTGCCTCTCCAGTGGCTCTTCCATCTGCTCCAATATCAATGTGAACTCTTATAGGGTTCAGTGGTGAGAAAAACTAAGAATATAAAACAACAATAAAATCAGATTAATACAGAATTCAAGCCAGGTACTTTCCCCACACCCGTGGTTAGTGGAGCACTGCTTCAATTTAATCTCATTCTACTGTATAAATTAAATAATTAATTTCCAAAGTATTACTCACCAATAGTGGACCTTCAACATTAGGTCAGTCTGTTCTTACTATCTATTATTATTATACAGCTCAAAGAGTTTCACCTACAGAGCTTGAGGAGCTTTCTTTAAAAGCAAAGATAGGAACAAGAATTCCTGCCCACACACACTGCTTTAAGCAACAAGTTCTAATATGATGCCATGCTGGAAAAGGAAGATAATTACTTGGGTTTTAAAGCAGCAGAGCCAAATACATTTCTCAAGGACATACTAAAGCTGTCAATCAGACCAGTCTTCCTTGCTACAGAACTCAAAAAAAGACACAGTGGTACTTCTGACTAACACCCTTTTTACCAAACAGTATATGCAAACGAACCTTTGATAAAGTACAGAAGTACTACTCATCAACTTGCAATAACATGCTCTGATTCAAAGCCTCAAGTTTAGCCCTTGTCATCTTGAGTCTTAAAAGAAAATTATCAAACTGACTGAAAAGAATGTAGCTCAATTAACTCCCACCCTCAAGAAAAACACCCACCCACCCACCCGCTGCCCCAAGTAACAAGAATCAAGATTTCCATACGTAACATACAGGTGCAACAAATAAAGACGGAGCCCCATGCTGGAAAGAGGCTCTGTTTTAAGTCAGGCCCTAGGGCCTTCTATCTCAAGAAAACCTTTCCCCCTAGAAACAGCACATCTATTCTGACACAAGAATGTATTCCCAAAATCTTACAGAGGTGCTTTTACCCACCACCCTGCTCTCTTATGAGAGAATCTGCAGACCTATTAGAACTATCAATCACTTGTCTGGGAACTTCAACCAAGTTTCTAGTAAGAGAGACAGGAACATGCAAACTCTTAGCATTAAAAAGCCCTTTTTTCCCATTGTACTTACATTAGCAATATCATTTTCTGTTGCTCGAAAAGGCAGTCCTCTCATGTGAACAAAGTGACCGCCACCATGGAAACCTGAGCCTGCTTCTCCAGCTCCCCCATAGCCATGTCCCCCCATGCCTATTAAAAAATCCAAACCAAACAAGACCACACACTTGTAAGATCATCCTGAAAAGCCAGGAAAGTCATTACTACTGGTTTTCTGAAAGCACACATTATACCACTGAATGCAAGCTGTTTACGCTTCCCATCTATCAACCCAAACACTTAACCAGAATACACCCTAAGTAATGTATTTACCTTTTCCTAAAATGCCCCAATTCCACCCCTCCCCCTCCCCGTTTTGAACAACCTTATTTCTGTACCAAATAATCTGATGAAGTTTCTGACTTGGATATCCTACAACTCAAATAATATATTTTTAGGCAAACTATTTAAAAAGAAAAAAAAAGTTTTACCTCTCCCATCCCTCATTCTGTCATCATAGCCATCGTTTCCATAGCCATAGTTATTATAGCCACCATAATCATCAAAGCCACCATATCCTGGGCAGAGGACAGAAAGAAAGAAATCATTACATTAACACTCAAAATTCACAGAGCAATGCACAAGAGTCAACTTTTCAGTCTTTGGACACCCAGCAGTTTGCAAACAGCCTCTAAGACTATTAAACCTGAATTCCTGTAGAGTGCAGATGTACGTTTCCTTTTACATAGTAAAAGGACTGCAACATGCAAGTGAGATCCAGTTTTGCTGAAAGCAGAGTTTCCTTATTATTTCCATTAATTTTAAATACTAAGTCACATTTCTTAATACATCACAAGTAAAAAATTTCTTGGGAAGTGCATCAAACCTAATGGGAACTGCAGCTACTGCCATTTCTTTATTTCTCGACAAAGATGTCAGAAACACAAGACTGACAACAGAACCTCCATTCATTAGATAAACATACCACCGTCATATCCACCACCTCCTCGACGCATTCTGTCATACATACTTCCACGCCCAGCTCCATAATAACCCCCTCTTCCTCCTAATGGTCTATCGTATGGTCCAGGCCGTTGTTGTCCCATCATTCTTCTTGGCATGTCACTGAATCCTCTGATCTCGCTCTTACTACTTTTGAAGATTTCAATATATCTAATAAAAGAGGATTTTCAAGATACCAATAAGCATACATGCAAAAGCTGTCTGAATATTAAAAAAGGCCATACTATGTTTTCTGTAACTAGACAATCCAATAAAAGTGACTAGATACCATATAACTTAAGTTTCTCCTCAAAGCCGTAAGAATCTTAAGTGTATAAAAAACCCCAAAACACTTTACAGTGGCAAAAATTACTATGTGAAAATTCTAGCTGTATAAATTAAGCATATATCATGTCTTTCCAGTATGAGAAACATACTGCTGAAAAACAGTGTCTAAGCTATAGTAGCATTAATCACAAATTACCCTACACAAGAACGACTGATACAATTTTCTGAGTTTAGCAAGCTACCCAGGCAATACTGTCTCCCCCACCCCCCAAGTCTATTGTATTTCCCAAGTTAACTTAGGATCAGTTACAGAAATTCTTAAAAACAGCCAGTTCCATATAATGGTCCCCACCCACCCAAAAGCATTACTGACCCACAACCCCCAAAAATAAAGATGTAACACCATCCCAAACTCTCCATCCCCACCTGTGCCCTATTCTTTCCTTGTGTTTCCCCAGAGCATTTTCTGCTATCTCCTTTGAAGCAAACTGCACGAAGGCCTCCCCTGTGCTTCTCCCCTGGTAGTCCAGCGTCAATGTTATCCCATTTGGCACGATTTCCAACCCTTTAACCCAAGGACAAATAACCCCATCAAGGGGAACAGTGTTAAAGGCTGAAACATTCCCATCTGTAGCAAATACTTAAATCATATCTAAACAACAAGAACGAAAAAGAAAACCACCTCATTTCCCCCATCACCCAACAATACAAGCCAGTCATCTTTGATTAAACATTTATGGATTTAGCCATACTTCTTTTCTGTTTAAGCTATGCAAAAATACAACCACCTAAGTTACAAGAAGAAAATATAGCTACCAGTCAAACAACTTAACTGATCCACTTGGATCATCAGCTAACATTCAGTTATCCCAATACGCATAATGCGTTTACCATGTTGACAAAGTTAGAAATATATTGTGTATTTTACTACATCTATTGTTATTTCTACTTTATTTACAGGACATAATTTTTATTTAAGATAAACTAATTTAACACAATCCCTCCCAATCCACCCCATTAATGGCTATAACAAATTAAAATGTACAACACATTGTGTAAAAGAAGTAAGAAAATCCAGCCACTAGACTTCGACTATACTAGAGGTACCTTGGAAAAACTGAACAATCTCTTCTTTGCTGCAACCAAATGGCAGGCCTCGAAGTCGTACCACTGTTCCATCATTAGTTGTATCATTTGGCCCATTATGTTTTCCACTCCAGTCCATCTTTTATTTAAAGCAAACCCTTCAAAAAAGGGAAAAAAAAAGTAAAGAAAAAAGTCGAAACATTTAACAACAACAACAAAATCAAGTAGTTTGGGTATCTAGTATTTGGGATAATAAGCTCCATTTCTATTACAAATTTAAAACTACTTTACCACATCTACAGCACATACACATCTAAACCTACCCCAAACTCTTGACAGGGAACACCACAGTGTGTAGGGAGGGAAGCACGTGGGGAGGCACAGCACATAAAGCTCATTATTTACTCGAGAGTACATTCAACATCCAGCCTTTAAGGTTTTGTGTTCAGCGTTTTTTATTATTTAATTTCTTTTAAAGCATGTCATTTGAAGAAGGGGTAAGAACCACGCAACGGTTCCTGCGTGGAAACACAAGACCTTCCTTTGTCTGCAAACAAAGCGCTCAGCTGTGGGAGGGTTTGGTTTTGTTGGTTTGGTGTTTTTTTTTTTTCCCCGTCTTCCCTACCGGAAGCACCGGCGATGCACTAATTTCATGTTACACTGCCTGGGACAAACCGGGGACCCGCGGGATCACCTTGAGGGGCACCAGTGTTGGCGCACCGAGACCCCGGCGGGAAGGGGAAGTCGGACCCGCGCCGCCGCATCGGCTCCCTCGCACCGCCCTGCGCCTGGGGCGGTGTTGGGAGGGGGTGGAAGGAACGGACAGGCGGCGGGAAGCGCGCCCGTGAGCGCTCCACAATGGGCAGCGCGGCAGTCGAGCCTCAACAGCCCGAGAACCTCAATGGCCACCCTCGTGCGCTGATCGACGCACTACCGTACACTTCCCCTCCGCGCCACAGTCCACCCGACCCGCTGCACCGACCACCGCCGAAATCGCGGCCTTGACCCACCGCTCATTTCCCGGCGCCATTTACCGCGCCTCCACGGTACCGCCCCCTCCCACCCTCCCCGCTCCAGCCCAGCTCCCCACCGTGACCCGCTACCACCTCTCCGCCTCGGAGGAGCTGCGCGGCCTCCTCCCGTTCAACCTCAGGCCCCGCAGGAGTCCTTCACCGCCACCCGCCGCTCTCCTGGGGCCGCCGCCACCCTCGACTCCACCACTCAAAATGGCGGCCGCACTCAGGAACGAGGCTCCGCGGAGACGCGCCGCACCGCCCCCTCCCCCACGCCCTCCTCCAGGTCCGCCACCGCCCACGGTCCCCTCAGGCGGGCGCCGGCCCCGACGCCGCGCCGAGAAGCGGGAAGGCCGGCTCGCTTCAGAGCCCGAGCTGCTACTGCTATCGCCACCACGGCCTGTCCAGCTAGCGCACATCATGCCCATACTCCCTCCCCACTCACCGGAGACCTTCGCGCACGCCTCGACGTGCTCCGGCAGGAGCTTCTGTTGGGAAAGAAACTCCTCGCTGCTAACGAGCCAGCAGGCTCAAAATCTACGCAAGGGACGCGGGCTGAAGAGCGTCCCGACTACGCAAATATCGCGATAGCCACGCCACACTCCTTAGCCCCGGCTAGGCGCACTAAGCACATGCGCGCCTCCGCGGAGAAGCAATGACGCACGCGCGCGGCGGCCAGTGAGTTCCCGCCTATTCCTGTCACGGCTGCTGCTGAAGGGCGCTGAGGTGCATGCGCGCTAGGTCCGCAATGGGGCCGTCCTTCTGTTCGCTTTGGCGCCAAGCGGGCTCCCGGTTGGGAGCGCGCGCGCTCTGGCAGAAAGTGGCTGTGGCGCCTGCTCGAAATGGCCGCCCAGGGATCGCCTCGCACACGCGGCGGTTGCGTGGCCGTCCCCTCGAGTGTGTCGCGCAGGGTGGCCGGCTTCCCCGGCGTGGGTTTGGGAGGGCGAGCGGGTTCCCACAGCGGTGCTGAACCCGCGGCAGGCCAGACCCAGGGGGAACCTCATAAATGCCGCTGGGAAGGACTCTGTGGTGGGAGTGTTTTGGAGCTTGGCAGAAGTCGATACAAAAGAAGAGATTAAAAGCTTTTCTAAAGAATTGAAAATTGGCGCTGAGCGCTGGGGGTGTGGAAGGAGGCCTGTGCTCTTGTATGCGCTCGGAAGTGAGGAGATGGGGGCCGCTGGCTCTTCCTGGCGTTAGGGAAACATTAACTTGGGAGTTACGCTATCAGCTGGGGCTAAAAGGTGAGGAAGCACTTTGCAGAAAGCAGTTTAAATGGGCACAAAGGACAATGCAAATCCCTGTTTTTACGGTTGATGCTTTTACAAACCGGCCGTTTTTTGGAAATCCTGCTGCAGTTTGTCTGCTTGAAAATGTAAGTTCACTTCCTCCTCAAAGTGCTCTGACCAAGTTGGTTCTAACTGGTACACTGTTGACAATTTCTACCAAATAGGTCTTATGTTATTTGCATAGTAACAGTTCATGAAAATGGTAAGAAAATGTATATCAGTCAGTGGCAGTAGCGTGAGCTGACTATGAATCCTTTCTAGATGTTTCTAAGCCTAGATCTTGTACAATATAGCCTACTTATCAGCTGAAGTTATGAGTGAGAATATCTCACTTCAGAGGTATTTTTGGCTTCCTGAAATCTAAATACTTCCTCTCAGAATGAACTTACTTTGAAATTATGAGTCCTATTTGCATTTTCATAATAATTTTACTTTATTACATTAATATATTGTGGGGGCAAGTTACTTGCATGTTGCCTTTGGAACGTGGAGATTTTTAATTATTTTTTTTCTTCAGTACCTGTGGCTACAGGCCTTAGTGTCGTAGTTGAAGCTGATGTTCTCATTCATAATTTTGTTCTAAGCTCCAAGAAAGCAAGGTGCAGCTAGTGGCGATATTTCTGTTCCATTCAGAGTCTCAGCAGATGTTTTACAAAATCCCTTGGGAATAACGCAAGGATGGCAAAACGAGCCCTTTCTGTGTTTCAGAAATACCACAGGATGGCAGTAGTTCAGTAAAGTTCTGTTATTTTTAATAACATTTTGGTTGGTCTTTGTTCTGGTTTAGTGTCTTTAGAATAACTGACAGAACTGTTGTTCTGGAATAAAGGAGAGGCGCTTGTTACTATAAAAAGAATGTTTTTTCACTGCATAGAATTCACTCTGCAAATACAGGTCTACGGTGTGCATTAGTATTTGTGTCATTTCTGTAGTATGGGATCTTTGGCTGAAAAGTATTAACATTAGTAAGAGAAATAAGAATTTGCTCTGCTAACTTCAGTTATCTCTTAGAGGTTGAACCTAACCAAGTCCAAACAGTACTTTATTTCATCTGTGTTTCCATATTTATAGCCCAGATTCTTAGTCACCATAATTGTGGGGAAAAAGCAGTGGATCAAGGGTGAGGTAGAATTTTATACAGGCACTGCAACTCGTGTGTCCTGGGATCAATGTTCACTTTTGAACCCTTCTCAGGATTTAAAGCTGCAGGCAGTTAAAGCAGAATGTAGTGAGCTCCAGCCATTTATTTTTTTTTTTTCAGTTTATCTCCCCTCCGCGTCTTCTGACTTAATGTATTGTTCCCATTGTCTAAAGAATATCGAGGCCATAAGCACTGATCAGCCACCTTGGTCATTGCTGCAGCAATTGCTACGTAGCTCTTGCTGGCATGCATTGTTCAGAGTTAAGAGAGTTGTAGTTATTTTTAGATTATGATAATAATGTCTTCTCAGTGTGACTTATAACTAAACAAAAAAGTATCATGTTCATGGAAAGACTTGAGTTTAGGTTTTTTGGTGATTTTATTTTCCATGTATTCCAAGAATTTGTAAACTAATAAGACAGATACTAGAAATGTCTATTTATCACAATGATTGAACTAGTTGTTCCATTTTATGCTTAGTTTGGTGTTTTTTTTTCTTGTTTGTTTGTTTTACTCAGTATTTTGAACTAAAAATGAATCTGTTATAATAGAAAATGAAATTACTGTGTTTATTTGACAGTAAGTTTAATTCTGCATTTTTTTTGCCTGCTTTTAATTGGATTTATTGTCTCATCATTAGGACTTGGATGAAGATTTGCACCAAAAAATTGCAATGGAAATGAACCTTTCAGAAACTGCTTTCATCAGAAAACTGCACCCTGGAGATGACTTTACTAAAAGTGAGTGGTTCTGTTTACCCACCACAATCTCTCACAAGGGAATAGGAAATACTGGGTGCATTTATAAGGAATGGTGGTAACTTTTAATACAGCTAAAACAAAATCTTGGAGTTGTGATATATCTCTTAAGAATATAATAAACCTTTTGCACATGGATTCTTTAAAGTGTTTGTGCTCTACATGAAATTCATTTTACAATATACAGACATTTATTATTTATGAATTAAACCATTTGTCTTAGTGTCTTTCACTAAATAAGCAAGTTAGATATAGAAAATCTCCTGAAAATGGTATGCAAAGATCTTTCAATTAGTAGTTCCCTTACTATTAACAGTCTCCTGAGAGAATTTCTTCAGAAGAATAGAGATGGAACATGTTTATTCCTCATGCACAAGACTGCAAAGTGAGTAGAATCTGGCTTGGCTGTTCACTGGGGTAACCATAAGCTATTATCTGAGTTTGTCACTAAATCTTGTAAGTGATCTGTGGAGCCAATACTGGAAAAGACAGGTTTCCAACAAAAGTGGGAAATCAAAAGTTGCCCAAAGGAAGCACATTAGGCTACACTTTTGATTGGTTTGAAAGGAGAGACTTCACTGGTGTTCTTTGTGAGGGCATGTGTGTATATATATATATATATGTATATATATATAATATGAGCGATGAAATGGAGGGACACTAGATAAGATAGAAAACAGACAAATACAGAATCCATTCTGAATAGCTTTGTGGATTAGTTTTCAGCTGAATCAGTTTGCTGAATCTGCTCACTTTGCAGTTGTGTGGTAGCAAGAGCCAAGGGGCTGAAAGTCACTAGCCTGGATTTTGATTCTAGGGTAAAGTATTTGTGTTGGCACGCCCTTGCTTTGATATGACATAGTGGAAGAGAGGTATGAACAGCTTTGGAGTTACTGGCTATATGAAAGAGGCCTTAGAACAGTATGCAAAGAAACTGTTCTTTATTGCTTGATTGTTCAGAGTGGGATTTTGTACATTCTCTGTTATTAAAGAGGATTTTCTTAAAGTTATAACTATCCTCATTTACTCCTATTGTTAATAAATTGGAATTTATTTTAGAAGTATTATTAGAAATAATAACACTTTTCATTTTTCATATGAACATTTTTTTCATGTTAACACCTTGCCGATACATTTAATACATTTATTTATTTTATCAAAGTGCTTTTGATGTTAATGGGACTAGAATTTGTGACATCAGACCCATGCAACTGCTAAAGAGTAGCACAATTTTTTCAAAGAAATATAGCAACTGAGCTACACCTGAGAATGAGGGCTGGTAGGAGCAAGAGTAGACCAGACACATCAGAATGTCATTCGTGAGACTGCCGTCTTCTCTGGAACATAAGTGATGTCTTAAGGGCTCCTGGGCAAAGTATGATTTTGAGAGGAGTATGAGTTTGTGATCAGTGCATTTAATTAAATTTTAATTTAAAAATATCTGCATTATTTTAGGGTTATATTAATTTATGAGAGTACAAAATGTCTTCTTAGTCTGTGTATGACTGTATATCTCAACATTCAGGCAAGTGTTCTGGGTCACACAGCTTGTCTGTTTCTGGTTGAGCATGGCTGACTCCATTTCCTCCTGCTTTCAGCCACAATTTCCACTTGGGGGAGTGTATTAACACTAGGGCAGACTTCTGGGTTCTGTGGTTCTGTGTCTTCAGTTCTCTGCCAAGCTTGTTAGTTTCATCCACTAGGTTTTGTTGGGATTCTATTTGTTTTCATTGGAGAGGGGACCGATTTTAATGCACTGGTTTTTCACGGGAGTGATGACAAGACTTGTTTGGGGTTTCTTTTTAGATATCATTTGTTTCTCTTGTGCCTTTTAATTGTGTTTGGTAATTATTCACTTGAAATATATTTTCATAAGCATTATCTTAAATGCTGTGGTGTAAGTCTGCAAAAGCTACAGGAAACCAACTATAGTGCACTTGGGTTCCAATTTTTTTTAAACAACAAATAGAAATACAATTTCTAGTGACATGAAGAGTTAGAGACTTTTACCAGACTTGCCTGGTGGTTTAAGCAAAATAATTCATAACTGATCTAGCTCTGATAAAATTTCAGTTATACCACTAAAACTATCTAACCCCTAAAGGATATATGCAGCACAGAAAGTTGTCAGAGAGAGAAGTTCTATTTTGGGTAAGTATTAAATAGTTTTTTTATCATAGAGACATAAGAGAACATAGGACACCACCAGTTCAAGAAGCCAGTAAATGCTGTAAATTCCTGTTTTTTACCTGGAACAGCCAATAGATGATGATGTTTTCTCTCAAACCAGTTTTTATTTCTCCAGGTTGTTCTCCTTTCAGTTAGAACACCCAGTGGCAGTTACGTATTTTACTTTCTCAGAATGTTTTTCCCCTTTTCCAGGTTATTTTTCACCTTTGCAGGTGATAAGTTGTTGTTACAGTTTGTTGTTTGTGTGCTAACCTATGATACCTCTGTATGTCTCCAGTTTCTAGCTACTCAGCAGCGCTTCAAAGGTGCCAGGTGCACTTCTCAAGACTGCCTCTGATTCACACTTTTAGTTCTTGGGCAGACAGTCATTTCTGCTCTGCAGCTCCTTTGCTTTTGTAACCAAGTAGTTTTCCTCTGTTAGTAGTCTCGTGTTGTTGACCTGACTGAAAAGCAATAGCTGTTTCAAAAGTCAGTACAAAATAGGTTCCTAAAAGTGTAATTCCTAAATTATTTAAAGTGTGTTTAAGACCAGGACAGATTATAACGTGTGTTCTGATTAACTGAAATGTCATCATTCTACATAAAGTTTTGAGACTTCTTCAACTTAATAACACTAAATTTTATTTTCAAGGTTCCTGCTTTGGACTCAGATGGTTCACCCCAGCCAATGAAGTTCCTCTCTGTGGTCATGCTACACTTGCAGCAGCTGCTGTGTTGGTTCACATACAAAGTATGATTACAGCTATTTATTACTGTAACTTTTTAGGAAATTTAATTTTAAAAAATCTCTATTTTCTACAACAAAGGCAATTAAATATTTAGAACATTTAGAGAACACACATGGAGATACCTTAGGTATTGTCTTTTGCAACTGCTCTGTAATTACAAGGTTGTAGTCTGATGCCTCGGATTGGGATGCCCTGCTATTATTCTTGTTTAAGAAAAGTACTAAATATGCAGATGTCATCTGGGAGAGTTACAGTAGAATTTGATGAATGTGGAATATGCTCTTTCTGTTTGAAGGAAATTTCCATTCATTCTAGAAACACAGAGAAGAGATTCCCTGCAGTCACTGCTTTTATTAGCCTCAGCAGCTTATTTATTTAGTTGGGAATTTTGTCTATAGTTTTTTACTGTAGGTTTATTGTAGTTACTGTATTTTAGCTGCGTAACCAACTTCTTCTGACTGTACTGAGCTACTCTAAGAACTATAATATAGATTCCAATTCTTACATTTGATAATGTTGCAATGTTTTTTCTTTCTAGAAAACAAAAATTCAGTTCTCACATTTGTGACGTTGAGTGGGGAATTAAGAGCCAGACAAGTGGAAGATCATATTGTCCTGGACTTACCACTTTACTTAACCTACCCACAGGTCAGTCAAAGTTTTATTCATTAAATGCTTTGAAGGAAATCATGTGTTTATGTTTACATGTGTATGTAAGTGTATCTATCTGTAGTTGAATAGATACATACATATATATGTTCTATTTTTTACAGTGTGGATTTTTTTTGTTTTATCTTCAGGTACTTCAGGAAGTAGAAGAGTTAATAAAGGTAAAAAAAGAATCTATGTATGTTTTAGAAACACATTTATAATAGTTATATGTTAAAATGGTTGAAAAGTGTTAAGATGGCATTGCTTAGTGTACTCTTGAAACACTAAGGTTTGAAGGTCTGAGTCATGCAGCCTGGGAAATTGAATTCTCAAAAGTGCTGCAGTTGAACATTGTTTCCCACTACCATTGTTTAGAGTGTCAGTATTTCTCTGTGGTATTTTCAGCCTATTATATGCATGTGAGGGCAGTCTAGTGTCCTTCCACTCTTCTGGATCCCTGAATTTCCTTCTGAGTTGACATGCACAGAGATCTTAGCACCTACCCATATCTATTCATGCACTTTGTGCATTTCTTTTTCTTGCTTGCGTGTACTTTATGGCTGCATGAGGGACCTTTCATAAGCCCTGTTCTGGCAGGGAATGTGTTCTATGAAAATGTAGAGAAAATAGTATTCTGTATTCAAATTATGAACTTTCCTTGGTCTCCTTTAATTTTTACACCAGGCAGCTGTTGGTGACATGATTGTTCAAGATCTTCGTTACTCTCCTGACACAAAGAAACTCTTAGTCCGCCTCAGTGATGCTTATGAAAGGTGACTTATCCTTTATTTTTTTTTTCTTTTTTAAAATCAAGTGTACAGAAATTGAGTCTGCCTGCTTAGCCTCCATTCCTTACATACTAGGCTGGTTTATCTAGTTTTAAAACAGGTGAAGTTTAAAAACTCTTATTTAAACTTCTGTGTTAAATGGTTATCTTCTAATGGGAGTTTATTGAACCTGCAGAGGCGTAGGAAACATTTTTAACAATGGTGTATTTTCCCCATCTATCTGAGTAAAAAATATGATCCAGTAACGTAGTGGGAAATTTGGAGTCTTGTGTCTCATATGAAGAAGCAATAGTTGCATAGCTTAGAGGTCTGCTTTGTGAAACAGAGTGCCACGGATTCTTACTCATATTTGACTGTAATCTGCTTACATGTACTTAACAGCATCATAAGTAGCTTTATAGCTATTTACTCCAATTCAGATTCCAGTTCAGATTCCAAAGCATTTTTTAATTTCAGAGATCTGAATTTCATCGTTAAGTATCATTTGAATATATATTGCCAAAACACAACCTCATTAATCAGGCCAAGTTATCATTTTCACTTGAAGTTTGGCCTAACGTTTAGAGATTTGACTTGATGGGGGATAGAAATATCCTCAGCTAAGTACTTTTATTGTTACTCTGTCAGACTTCATTTTGTTGTGAGCAATCTGCAACTTCACAGACTTGAGACTGTTGTAGAGTGCTTTAGAATTCCATGAAGATCTGAATGGTGTTAGTTATTTGCTTTCTCTGAAAGGAGATAAGAGTGCTTACTATTTGCGTTCTGTAGTGATGAAATCTTCCTTTCAATTGTTAAACATTGAAACAAAGTGTGCCCTTCTGTAGCTAATATTCCAGCATGCTCTGTTTTCAGAAATAAGTAGGAAATGCATGGCTTGAACTTCTTTCTGTGCCCACTCAGAGCATATTATATTCAGGGTGGTCTTCTGTCAAATTGCATTGGGAGGGCAATGCTAGGAATCTTGTTCTTCTAACATTTTACTGTGGTTATTTAGGGATTGTAGAGAGGATGACTTTGTAGTTCCTTTTCAATACTTAAATTCATGTAAAGTGAAGAATATGGGCTAATAAAATTCTACGGTTATATTCAAGGTCTGTGTTGGAAGAACTACAAGTGAGTGCACAACGCTTTTTATCAGCTGAAAAGACAGGAAAGGTGAAAGGACTCATACTCACTCTTAAGGGAAATTCCAGTGGAAAATGTAAAGGCCATGATTTCTACTCCAGATATTTTGCACCTTGGTATGGAGTTCTGGAAGACCCTGTTACAGGTATGTGTTTGGGAGATAAGCAACTCTTACTCTTGTTTCAGTTCAATTAAAAGGTTCTTATTAAACTTTGTTAATCTCGTTTTGTACTTTGGAGTCTCTCTTATAAATGTCTGTTTTATATGGATAGCAGGTGTGTGCTCATTAAACTGAAAACTTCAGGATTGATGCCAACTCTTGCAGAAAGAATCAGCTTCTTATTACCATCAGGCCAGATATTCCTGTATGTTTTTTCAGGTCTTTTCCCTGAAGTATTCCAATTAAAATGAAAGGCTAGTTTAGTATTGAATTGGAATTGCAGTAAAAGTTCATATCCGCTTCTGTTGGTGTCTGTATTTATTTTTGTACTTCAGCTGAGCTGTCCTCTAGTTTCTTGACACTTATTAGGGATATTCATGCCTATGAATAATAATAACTCAGCCAGTTGTGTATTTGGGGACAGGAAGATTTGTTCTCTGCCTATTCCACACAATATCCACCCTGAGTGGATAGGTGTGATGATGGTTGTTACAGAATGATATTTGCTTAGGTACCGGTAAATCACAGGTTAATTATTATTCCTGGGTCGGAGCAATCCCAGGCACAGCTATGGGTTGGGCAGAGAAGAGATCCAGAGCAGCCCTGTGGAGAAGGACCTGGGGGTGTTGATCGGTGAGAAAATGAACATGATCTGGCAGTGTGTACTCGCAGCCCAGAAAGCCAGCTGTATCTTGGGCTGCATCAAAAGAAGCATGGCCAGCAGGTCAAAAGAGGTGATCCTGCCCCTCTGCTCTGCTCTTGTGAGACCAAACTTGGAGTATTGTGTGCAGTTCTGGTGTCCTCAACATAAAAATGACATGGAACTGTTGGAATAAGTCCAGAGGAGGGCCACAAGGATGATAAGGGGAATGGGGTACCTCCCATATGAAGATAGGCTGAGAAAGTTGGGGCTGTTCAGCTTGGAGAAGAGAAGGCTGTGTGGAGACCTCATAGCAGCCATCCAGTATCTGCAGGGGGGCTATAGGAATGCTGGGATGGACTACTCATTAGGGGCTGTAGTGATAGGACAAGGGTTAACGGGTTAAAACTTAAGCAGGGGAAGTTTAGATTGGATATAAGGAGGAAATCCTTTCCTGTTAGGGTGGTGAGGCACTGGAATGGGTTGCCCAGGGAAGTTGTGAATGCTCCATCCCTAGTGGTGTTCAAGGCCAGGTTGGACAGAGCCTTGGGTGGCATGGTTTAATGACAGGTGTCCCTGCCCATGGCAGGGGGATTGGAACTAGATGATCTTAAGGTCCTTTCCAACCTTAACTATTCTATGATTCTATGATTCAGCTGAGAACTTGGTCAAAAATGTTCATTAAATGTTTTGCTAAATAAAGAGAAAATTTCTTTGTTGGAATAATGTTAATTATTCAACACTCCTAGCAGAAATAAAGGTTTACAAAGAAATAAAAGCAATGAATTTCAGTTATTTCTTATACCCAGTCCTGCATTCTTGATAAAGCTGGGGACAGTCTGGTAGATGTATGTAATCCCAGAGCTCGTTCCTAAGGATTTCTGGGAAGACTAGTATTGATATTTTCCCTGCCTTTGGCAGGTGGGTTGGAATGATCTTAAGTTGCTTTCAAGCCCTAACTATTCTACAATTCTATGATATGTAGGAAAAGCCAGAAGTTTCTGGAATCTCTGAGATTCTTCTTGGCTTGCTGTTGCTTGTCTCCCATCTTTAAGTGTCCTTCTTTTATAGAAATCAAACTTCTTATTGTATTGCTGAAGTATACTTTTAACAGTGGTATGGCTTTGTATGATACTTCTTTTGTAATGATTTCTTAGGAATACTACATGTCCTGTTGTCTTTGAGTCTTGATAGTTACTTCACAGTAGGGTTTCCAGAAGAGTGTCTTTGCTCCTAGCTGCTAAGGCAGACTGAAGCAGCATTTCTAGCTATGAATCTGAGAAGTCATCTTAAGTTTTTAAGCCATCTGCTGGTCAGGAATTAAAAAATTGGTCTTTTAGTTTTCAGAAGCTGTGGTGAGACCTTACATTTTTCCTAGAGTTACATTCTGATACTTACCATCATTGAAGACTGAAAAAAAAACTCTGAGGTTTTGTTGTGAAAACTGTTAGAAGAGGAAATACTTTTGTTTTACAGAATGACTTCTATTCACCTGTTCTATTTTTAAGAAATATCTAAAAGTCTATTCACATTTTTGATGGAGAGCAGTTTGGATTTCACTGAACAGCATCATGTTTATATGAAAATATTTCAAATTTAATATTTTGAGACTCTGTTATTAGGAAACCTCACTTTTGGTAAACAAATGAGTACTTTGGATCAAGTATTGTAATTGGTACTATTTGTGTATTTGAATCCCTCACCAGGCAAAATCTCCTTTGAAGCCAGAGGATGAGGAAGTAGTACTGCTTTATCATAAATAAATTAAATGATAAAGCTTTAAGTTCTGTTTGCTGTGCAAACTCTCAGATGTTTTGTCCTAAACACACATGTGGCACTTGATTTGTTAATGGCGTTTAGATTTTGAATGTTCTTACTCTACAAAGTAGTGATTCCAATTTAATTCTGTACTTTATTTTCCAATTTCTTTTAAGGATCTGCCCATGCTGTCTTAAGCAGCTACTGGTCGGAGCAGCTGGGGAAGAAAGAAATGCTTGGTAAGAGAAACTCTTTTCTTGCAAAGCTGCCCATTTATGTAAAAGCTACACAGTAGAAAAGGAAAAACTTACATTATTACTAGAATACAAACTGTAACAATAAGTGCCTATCCATTTTCTCAATATAAGTATAATATTAGACATAAGGAAAAGTTCTTTACTGTGAGGGTGGTGAGACACTGGAACAGGTTTCCCAGAGAAGTTGTGGATGCTCCCTTTGTGGAAAAGTTCAAGGCCAGGTTGGCTGGGGCTTGGAGCAACCTGGTCTAGTGGAAGGTGTCTCTGCCATGGCAGGGAGGTTGGAACTAAATGATTTTAAGGTCCCTTCCAACCCAAACTATTTTATGATTCTATTATGTAATATTTTGTGTGAAGTAATATTTAAGAAATCGTTTTTTTTTCCTACTCACCAACATGACATGAAGTGTCAGTTTCTGGATTATAATTCTCTGTGGTTATTTTTTGATCTCTGATTTTGGATTTTAGTTCTTTGGACCTTTCATCATAATTGACGCTTGGCGAATTTCAGATTATGTTGTTTATGTGTGTCCTGAGTTCAACTGCAGCAGTCATTTTTTTCCTTCTTGGTAGCTGGTGCAGTGCTGTGTGTTTGACTTTCAGCCGGGGAACAATGCTGATAAGACCGACATTTTTAGTTGTTGCTAAGTAATATTTGCTCTGATCAAGGACTTTTCAGTCTCGTACCCTCCCAGTGAGGAGGGGCAGAGGAAGTCGGGAGGGAGCAGAGACAGGACACCTGATGCAAACCAGCTAAAAGGGTATTCCATACCACAGCACGTCATGCCAGTATGTAAACTGGGGGGAGTTACCTGGAAGGCCCAGATTGCTGCTCAGGTTTGTCTGGGTATTGATTGGCAGGTGGTGAGCAATTGTATTCTCTCCCCTTGTTATTTCCCTTATCATTTTTATTATTGGTTGTAGCAGTAGTAGTTTTGTGTTATACCTTAGTTACTGGACTGTTCCTATCTCAGCCTGTGGGATTTACACTCTTTTGATTCTCCTCCCCATCCCTCCAGGAGCCGGAGGAGGAAGGAGAGGGGGGACTGAGAGAGCGGCTGCATAGTTCTGAGTTACTGACTGGGCTTAAACCATGACGATGTGTTTTGATGGAATTTTACCTCTTAGTCTTTATGACTTGCATTTTGGGTATTTGGGACAGGTATCAGTATTTTCATTAAGCTAAAGGGGGGCCTACAGGGAAGTTGGAGAAGAACTTTCATGAGGGCAAGTTGCGATAAGGCAAGAGGGAATGGTTTTAAGCTAGAAGACGGTAGATTTAGGTTAGGTACAAGGAAGAAGTTCTTCATTGTGAGGGTGGTGAGACACTGGCATAGGTTGGCCAGAGAAGTGGAAGCTGCCCCATTCCTGGAAGTGTTCAAGGCCAGGCTGGATGGTGCTTTGAGCAGCCTGGTCTAGTGGAAGGTGTCCCTGCAATGCCAGCAGGGTTGGAACTGGATGAGCTTTAAGGTCCCTTCCAACTCAAACCATTTTATGACTTTATGAAGTCTGTGATATTTGCCGTAACTTGGGGGTTGGGGTGGGGGAAGGGGAGGAGAGAGATCTCAACATATTTTCTGAAGAGAAGAAACTGTCTTTTGTAATGCATCCTTATGGACTGTTTCTCAGAATTTTTTGGCATTTTCAGATGTTAATATGGATTCTGAAACTCTTCCATGCCGTTCTTACAGACACTGCTTCTTTAAGTAATCAGACAGGAATTCTGTCTGTATTTTTAAATTATACTTTCTACCTCTTTTTCATTTTCATGTATTTTGCATGTACTGTGCCATTTGCTATCTCAGAGAAACTATCTCAAGCAGCAAGGCAGTTGGTACTGTAATCAGCTTCTCTGATGTGTTAGTGAAAAAAATGTGCTTTCTTCCCATTCTTTTTCTATCTTCTCATTCCCCCCCCCCCCCCCCCCCCCATTTATGTCCTCAACTTTTGTGATAGAAATCATACAAAACAGATTTAAAGAGAATAAGACATCTGATCAACATGTGGTCTCTATGTGTGTTTGTGAGAAATAACTTTTCTTTACGTGCATGTGACTGGAGAGTATCATGTGGTAGTGGGGCGAATTCTATTACTAATGAGATTATTTGGAAAAGATGGCTGCCAATCAAGAAGATTCCATATCACCAAAGATTAATAAGAGCATCTTTTGACTTTTTAGAAACCTCTCTGGTAGCTTCTGTAATACCGATGTGTTTTATTGCAAGAATAAAGGAACATTTTCTTCCATAAAATGAAAGATTTGTTAGTTCCAAGATAGATCCCATATGAAATAATAAATAATGAAATCATATAAAAACAAGGGAAGATATTGTCACATCGCTCTGGGTATTGTGACCTCTAGGAGGAGGTCAGTTGCATCTCTGCTGAAGTATCAGACATAATTTCCTGTGCTTGAGTTCTTTTCCTAGTTTTAATAGACCAAATCTTCAAACAACATCTAGCCCCATCAACAGCAAAGAATTTTCCAGTCTTTTTACAAGGTGAAATGCTTTATGATCTTTGTTGAAATGATGTACTTGTCCTTGAATTTAAGCTGAGTGTTAAATCAAAGCTTGGTATCAATCCTTGTCTTCTTTCATTTGAAGAGTGCAGGATTTAAAAGAAAAATAATCTCTCAGATGTATACTTTCATAATTGCTAATGAATGTAATATTTAGCAACTGTCTCTGCATCTAGCCCTTCACATAGTTTTCACATTTCCAAGATAACATTTATAAAGATGCATAAGGAATTTAATAGAACCAAGCAGATTATGGAGGATTTTCCAGGTTATTGTGAAGAAAAGCGGCTTTGTGCAGGACAATTTTTGATCAACACAGTCTGTCTTATCTTACAACTTTTCAATCTCCTCACCTTTTTTTTTTTTTTTAATATGTGAGGAAGCTGCTTTAGTAAATGTACCTGTATTTAAATTATTGCTAGTTTGAATTCTCATGAAGTGAAGTTTTGCAGAGTTGTAATCATGGCTTTCCTCTTTCCCAGGTAATCTCAGCATATAGATTGACCACGTCACATTTATACACAAGTGTAACATTTCTGTTTACTTCCAGACATAGGGTGACATATCAGTATTTCTTTGTGAGAGAAAGAATAAGTCAAATATAATTTTCATATAAGCTTTTTTGGTTTTTTTTTCACTTTTTTTTATTGCCAAGAAACAGGCAGCACTGGCTCCGCATTTAAAGACAGAAAAAAAACAACAACCAATCAACGAACCTCTGAAGATTTAGAATAATTGATCTCTTATTTACATCTGCCATCATGAGGGAAAGTTTAGCTGTGTATTCACACTTGGCAATAATAATTGATAAAATTTAGCATGGTCTGGATCTTTATAAGAGTTCAAAATACTAGGTTGAAGGCATTAATCCATACCTAGATGTGCTGAGAAGTTAAAAGCAATAACCAGTGGTTCTGTAAATGGAAAATACAGTATGTATTTCAGTCTGTTTCCACCTTTTTGGAGTGTTTGCTTTGTCTAGGAATCTAATATTCTGTTAAAAGGAAGAACATTCTTGTCAGCTGTGCCTGAGAAATTGTTTTAAAGCTCACAGTATATATACACCGTTTGTTAAACGGTGAGATCCTGTGCTCTGTTGGAATCTGAATACAGTCACTACCAAATTTACAAATTGGGGGTTTGTAGGGGAAAAACCTGCCCATTAGCTTTGAACAAATTTTGTAGTTGTTAAGTCCATTGAGTAAGGAGACTGCAGATGTTCCTGCCTCTTCATTGGTTTACAGTCTTTTACAAAAACAGCACTATATGAAGCTCAAGCCTTTGCTTAATGCATCTGAACGAGATAATTTTCTGATCAAGTAGTTGTGCAACTAAAATTGGACTACTGAAACGAGTCTATAGACTCAACCTGCTAAGTGAGCATTATTGTCCTACCTGTTATATGGCTTAACAGTTCAGGCAAAAGTTTAGTTCTGTACTTATTTACAAGTGGAAGGCTTTTTTCTACTTAAACTTTATCCAGCTGCATTAATTTCTATATTCAGGATTATATAAATCAATAGGTGGTCTTGTCTGTGTAAGAATTTGGTCTTAGTTTGTGAAAACTGAAGCAGCATGTGTTTCTTTGTAGACTTTTTCCACTGCCTGCATGAACTTTATTTACCTATTAGCCAAATGCATCCTTTGAACCTAGTATCTACTTTCAGATGTTCAGCACTAGTAAAGTGATTCTTCATTCTTACGCAGATAATACTCAGTGTTCTTCCTTCTTACCTACAGAAACTGCCTATCCTATGAATGGGAGAATTCTTAAAATCTATATAGTAGGTCTAAAGGCTTCTTTAGATAATACAAAGGAAACTTTGGCTACATCAAAGTATCCTTTGCTAGTTGTATTAACTAGCATTTTTGTCAGACTTAATAAACAAGTTGTAGTCGAGATAGATGCTCAGCTAATCTTCATCCATAAAGACAATCCATCCAGGGTGTCCTAGAACAGTTCTTGCCCTAGTGCTTCTTGGTTTCTGGAGACAGAGGCTTCATTTCCATGAGTGTTTCTGGATTTTTAAAATAATTTGTGATAGATACTATTTTTTAACCATGGATTCTTGTTTCCATTTAGCTTTTCAATGTTCCCGCCGTGGAGGAGAGTTGAAGATTTCATTGCGTAATGATGGAAGAGTTGACATTGCAGGGCGAGTTGCTATTGTTTTAAAAGGAAACCTGACTTTCTGAAAAAAAAAAAACCACAAAAAACTCAAGCAAAAATACCTCCCTCCCCCCCCCATCAAACAAAAAAAGTCCCAACAACCCACCATGAAAAAATTGACACTAATCTCCCACACCTTCAAATAATTTGTATTACACTGATTATACCTTAGTTCTAAGCAGTGAATTACCACTGTCCTCAAAAGTCTTTGATTACTTACTGTTCATTTAAAAAAAATTATTGACAATATTCCTAATCTTCAAGATTCTTTGTATTATTTTCTTCACTTTT